ACACAGCCACATATCAAGCAACTGCGACAACACATAGCTAATATTACTTACTAGTCCGACAGCAAGAAGGCCAGCTAGGCATCTGGCCTGCATAATTTCAGCTCTTTTAGCTTACACCAACAATAAAAGCCGGTCTGTTTATCTCTTCCTCCTGCTGTTTTCAAATATTTCCCATTCTAAAATTTCTTTTATAAAGGTTACCTTTTTATGATGTTTTCATTGTTACTCATCACAGAAATCCAAAATATCTTTCAGTAGTGGCATGGTCAGAATTTGATGCTCTCTGATTGGAAGCTTTTCACTGCCGTGCTCATTTGGACTCTCCCAAAGTTTTGGCGAACATACCTTTGGTTTTTTTAACACAGCTGACCATTTCTGTGCTGGTTAATTGACTGGGAGCCATCCAAGTGTTGGAATGCTCCCTTACGGTGTCACCTAACTGTGTTTAAAGAAATTAAGATGTTTAGCTCTGACACATTATGTCACAACACCTACTGCACTATTAGCTTTCAAAGTGCCACTTGGCTGTCCTGCGTTGTGGAAAGTCGTGTTCAGACAGACATGACTCACTTCAACACCAATTTTACTGTCCAGCCCGAGCACCTGACAGGGAGGGAGGAAGGGTTGGCTCGTATGATGTGTTGCGTGATGCAAGGAAGTGAAGAGGCGGTGATGACACAGTGGAAAAGACCATTATGCCTTTGGTGTGAAAGACCCAGGTTCAACTCCCCACTGTGACACGTCCACCAATATGTCAAGATACTTCACCTCTAGCTGCTCCAGAGGCGTGCGACCTCTGACATAAATAGCAATTGTAAGTAGCTTTGGTTAAAAGCGTCAGCTAAATTAATAAATGTAATGGAAATGCAAGGAGGTTGAGGCCACATGATCTGTCAAAATTCAAGTGAATCTGAGGGCTGTGAGGGCCGGGGTTGATTTAACATGGGTTCACTTACACAAACTTTGCACGCAAGCAGGCAAGGCAAGCTGAGATGTAGTGGAGGGATTTTTTATAAACCATAAAGGTTTTCCGCATTTTGAACATTGAACATAGAACATTTTTATATGTGTTAATTGAAATTAAGAAATTAAGAGTTGCTGCTGATTAAAAATCATTGATTCTAACCAAAACATCTAATCAGAAAAAATTAATTTGAGCAGGGGATATTTATACAAAATGCAATCTTTATGAAAAAACTGCAGACTGCAGATGAAAATATGTGACTTTTTTTCGTATTGGCTGTTGATTGCCTCACTATAATGCTGCATAATACGCACATGTTCTTCTTCTGCAGTAACACGTGTTACAAGAATGGCTTTACTTTGTGGGTGGGGGTAAGTTCCTCTGGTGGAACTGGGACCCTGCAGCCAATCCCTCATTAAATGGCATTAAATCCAACCAATCCTATTAGTATGTTACCCGTGAGAGGAGGAGCAGAGGCATGGAGACCTGTGGTCTGCCCTGCCTATGCTGACAGAAACATGAGCAGATAAGACTGACCTGACTTTGTACTTTTGACCACTGAAAGTTGCAAACAAATGTTACAAACACAATTGGTTTTCACTGCATATGAAATTGTAATAACAATATATATATTTTAATTTAGGATGTTTATTATCTCAAGAGAGAATGTATTTTGCCACACAGACATAAATTAAATATCGATTAATTATTAAAGGTATGGTAATATTTCAGGACCACGTCTTATTATTTGTTTTATTTTTAAAAGTTTACATGTAGTACTTTAGTAACCCATACATGTTTTGTTTTTAAATTAGACACATTATACAAACCTAAATATCAACATGCAGTAGGCTCTGGATTCAGTGACACAAAAACTGCAGAACAAATGAAATGAGATTTTTTTTGTATAAATGGTGTTATCATTAGTAACCAACTAATGACCCACACTCTTAATAATATTTGACACTGAACCCCTTTACACATTACAGTTCTACAAATGTCGGTGCACAACCACTAGTATTTCATCATCCTTGATTAACAAACAAAAAGTTTGTTTGTTCTTGTAGGGGAGGACAGTTGTACATAATATTTTGTGTGAAATGATTGTAGACCTTTTTGCTAAATTACATGTCAGTCAAGTAACGTGCTTTAGCAGCAAATAAAAATATTTGTTGTTATTTTATTACCATAATTATTTTATACTTAAATAGTTCACATATGCTTGTAGAGTTAATTTAAATCATAAAGATTTTTCTGTTGGATAGAAATGTAGCGTAATGGGCAAGATGTACAGCTGCTAAAAACTTGTTGTGGTCACTTATATGTATTTATAATTTATACTGCCATCCTTCCTTATGTCTCAAAAAAAGGTAAATAGCAACACTCAGGATTGTTGCCCTTGGTAATGTATACGTGAAGTGATCTTTGGGCTCATGTTTGCTGCCACGTGCCTCAGTGAAGTATCATGTCCTTCTAATCTCCTCTAATGTTGTCTTTAAGTATCGGACAGTGGGGCTCACTTTGAGATTAAGGTCGTCGTCTATTGGCTGCACCTCTAAAATGCACACCTGGCAGCCTTTAACTCCAGACTGTTTCTAAGCTCTAAGTTTAAGTGTCAAATTATGATCAAAATGATGTCATCTACATTTTTTTACCTCACTTACCCACAACAGCTAAAAAAGCCTTCAGGTGTTGTCTTTAAAAATAAATCTCAAAAACAAAGTAAGATGTTGTCATAACTTAATAATAATATAGGTAACCTTCTATAAAAGACCAAATAAATATATATATGGTGTAAAACTTCTCATGTAACTTGTATCTCTCAAAATTTCAAATAAATTCTTACTATTGCTGAACACTGAACATTAACCAACAAAGCTGGACATTCAACCAGTGATGTAATTTTTCTCAGGGGGACGGCTCCAGGAGTAATACCACTTGTGATAGGCTATGGAGATAAGGAGCTTAGAGGGCAGCATCCTGTGTGTTCTTAAAAATCTTTTTCTTCTTGCCTTTGCATCTTATTTCCTGGCTGACCCAAGAAGTATGTGGAAGACTCACTTACTTATACTTGTGTTTCAGACTTATGCTGTCTTCAAAATACATATATATTTTTTGAAATAGATCAACTCTCTAGATTGCTCTCTTTAATTAGATAGAAATGTTGGCTTTAATATTCTAAAATATGTTCCCTTCACAAATGTGAATTTTATAAAAAAGTTACACCTGCACAAACAAACTAGATTACCTTGATCACTCACAAGCAGTCTTAGAAAAAAACATGGAGTTACTGTTTCCACTGTTTATATCATTTTGTACTGTATATAGTCAGGAAACCTTCACAAATTATGTAGAAAGATGTGATTATGCCAGGAAACATAATGTTGTGTTGACTGTATACAGAGCTGGTGAGATATACTACTTCCCGGCAAGAAAGATTGATATGACATTTACTCATTTAGCTGACGCTTTCATCCAAAATGACTTACAATTGCTATATATGTCAGCGGTCGCGCGCCTCTGGAGCAACTAGGGGTTAAGTATCTTGCTCAAGGACACATTGGTGTCTCTCACACCAAAGGCATGTCTCTTATCCACTGCCCCATCACCACCATTGATGGGGGATTGATGGGGATGTGCAAGTGGGAAAACCAGATGAGAACAACATGTGAACAATATTCTATCATTACGGTCAAATACAGTAACTATTCACTAAACTCATTTTAGAACGACATTCACTTCCTGATATATTAGGCAATGTAGCTATGTACAACTAGTGGCATTTAGTCTTTATTCTTGCTTCATCATTGCACTAACATCAAAATATTTGCTGGGATCCCTTCCCTGTTAGACTTTGATTTTGTCTCCCCTGTCTTTAAATAGCCAATCAACATGCTGTCCGAGGGCGGACAAGCTCTGACAAGCTCTGACACTATTTCATGAGGTGTGAGTGACTGGGCTCCACAGGCCTGCCCATGTTTCAAATGAAAACCAGCTTTCATTGTGTGAATTGCTGGCTGTGGTTTTGGGGGGAGATTAATTGGCTGTAATCTTATTACACTGTGGCCTGCTACAGTCTTGACAACCCCCCACCAGCCTTCCCCCTAGCACTGTCTACCTGCCGACTAGCGTCACTGAACTTGCACTGTTGTCTGCTGGCTCAGTGCAGACAGGAAATGCTGACCGGCTGAAGGAGCAATTTGATAATTGGAGATGAATTGTTTATCATGCAGATCACCATTCTCTCATGCATTATCTTCTGTTATCTATCTAAACATGTTATTATCGATCTATACAACTTCTATAGGTATAAATCTGTTTTATTCAGTTGTGACCCAGATTTCCTTTCTTTAAATCTGATTCTGTCAATGGAAAGTTTCACTTCTTTAATACAAGGTAGCCATATCTTGACAATGATTTATCTCAGATGATCTCTAGATTTTGGTTTGTTGTTTTGATTTGTTGCAATGATTCCAACTTGAAAAATAAATAACATCAATTTCTCCATTTTGAAACATATATCTGTTTTTCATATATCTCAAATCACTCATTTCTGGACTTGTTTTCTTTCTTTCTTATCATCTGTTTCTTTTCTCCGTCCTACAGGCAAGAGCACTCTGGGATCTGATGGGTGGTTAGAAGCCGAAGTTAAAGGGATTACTCTTGGCTGTCGAACACAGGAGGTCCTTGGAGCCAAGAGCGATCACCCGGCTGGCGTTGGGCCTCATCCCAGAGACAGCAGAAGGTCCTATCAGGATACATAAGTCCAGCTCTAATGGCTTGTGCACTTACCGTCGAGCCAAGAACCCTTGTTTGATACCGCAGGGTTGTCTTGAAGGTAAACCCTTTCTGTGCTTTTGGAATACTGCCTTACCGTCTGAGAGGAGAGCACATCTGCTATTTTATTGTTGACATGCTTTGTTCCGACACCTTTCTATCCAACGCATATGAACTTCATTCATGGTGTTCACCACAACAAAGCTAAGGCCTGGGAGGACTGTCTTTTGTCAAAGAATAGCTTGGGCTCAGGTCAAATATGGCCAGAGACGTCAGTCCTCTGAGCCTCATGCATTTGTCTGTAAGGCACCAGCAATGGGTTGGAGCCTCTCTGGGGTCCGTCCTCCCCTTCCTCCCCCTACGTTCTCTAATTTTCTACTACTTTCTGTCATGTGCAGCAGCAGCAGGAAGTTTACCCGGCATAGAACATGACTATGGCATTAGCCCAAAATTTGTTTGCACCCCTATTCCCCCAGAAGCAGACCCCAGCTGTTATTCTCCACCCAGTGTGCCCCATGGACCAAGCAGTAATGGCCACACTAATGGCCACAATGGCAGTAACCGGCGAAACACGATGTCTGACGAGGCCAAAGCCACCATCTTGCACCTGCGCGAGAGCCTTGTAAGGCAAAAGGAGACCATCCTGGACCAGCGGGAGACCATCAGGGAGCTGACCGCCAAGCTCACATTGTGCGAGGGCTTCGGTAGTCACCATAGCACTGGTCACCATGAAAACCGCCACGACAATCACCATGAGAACCATCATGATAACCACCATAATGACCACCACGGGCAGCACAGCAGCCACCATACGTCATCATCGCCACACCATGGGCCTTCTTTATATCACAGCAACGATCACCACTACTCCCATGGCAGCCACAGGTCGGACCCCCACCACAGGAAAGGCTCGTCATACGTAAAAAACAGCTCTTTCTCCCCTGAACAGACGGGCAAAACACTGCAGACACTGAAGGAGAGGCTGGAGAACTTGCAGGTGAGTGCAGAAATCAGCAATGCACGCTGAATTAGAAGGTATTTTTGCATTACCAATGGGGATTAAAACCCCTAAATAAAATTTAAATTTAAATACAGAAAATCTGTAGCAGCCCTGAAACACAAAATAAGGGAGTTGAAGCAAGTAAAGACGTTGCCTCTTGAGCAAGAGTATTTAGGCCATAATAAAATCTGACACAAGGTAATGTTTATTGTTAACTGATTTGGAGAAGATATGTCTCCACCACCTCTCAATGTCCGACACACACCACCTGAAAGCTAATATCAACTGTTTGTCTGCTGTCTCTGAGCTATTGGGCACTAATGTCCTCTCAGAGTTGTTGCAGCTCTCGATCTCTCTCCTGGATATCATAGGCTAAGCCTGAGCTCAAACAGGAAGCTGCTTTAAGTTTATTAGCCCTCACGTCTGACCTTAAACATCCCCTGTTTTCAACTATCATATGATGGAGGGAGATAAGTAAAGCTTAGAGGAGGGGGTACCAGTCTTTCTGAGAACGATCTCCAGATTATCATATCACATTGTTGTATGTAAATTAATTTAATGTTTATTCACCCTAGTTAATTGCATTGAGATTAAGGATCTGTTTCCCATGGGGAAACCAAACCAAGTACATCAACTTTGTATCACAAGGCAAAAAAGTTGGGTTTCCACTGATCCAGACATAAAAAACATTCACTTTGTAACAACAAATTAGTGCTAACTGGGAAATTTTAAAATTGTTGTTGCTCCTGTTTCCAAATTTAGTTTTTCTTCTAATTTGTAGATGTTGCACAGTATGTGATAGGATGTGCCACATTCTCTAAATTGTGTTCCGGCACCTAAAACAAGCCATGCATGTGGTTCAGCTGTCTCACTTGTGTTACAACATTTAATGATGCTGGTGTCACACTGCGAGACCAAAACCCTGCTCTCCACTAGCCTGTGAAAGCCTCTTTATTAGTGTAGGTGGTCTCCGTCTATGCACAGGGAAAGTGTTGCCAGAAATCCTCTTCAATCTCCCTGGAAGGTGTGAGACAAAACACAAGCAGAGCCAGGATTTACCTACCGTCACTCCCTCTACCAGGATGTCTACGCCACCAGCCTCTGGCCATGCGCCGAGGGGCACTAGCCAGCCTCACCTTCACTTAGCTTAATCCTCCCTGACGAGGCTATTAATCGTGGTGTGCGCTGACAGGGAACAAAGCCGGATTTGCTGGAGAGGAAGACGAGGATGAACAGGGGAGAGGAGGACTTGTAGGGCGAAACTATTCCCCTGCATCTTCAAAAGTCATTACAGAATTCTTTAATCACTGCATGTAACTGCATTTACTGCAAAGAACTTCTGACTTTTTGATGATTTTTAGATGTTTCCTCATGTTTTGGAAGCATGGATGTTCATTCTTGTTCTTTGAAAGTAGTTCTTAAAAAGTTTCATCAGAGCTGTCGAGACCCAGCAAATGATGTGTGTGTTTTCAGTGGTGTATAAAGACCTTACATAATGAACATTTGCAATTTTATTACCTTAGAATGAACTATTTCTTTCTATCTTTCAATGTCCTCTTACATGGAAGTCGCCATATTGCACCGCCATGTTTCTGCAGTAGCTCAAAAGGACAAACTGCTCTATAGAGCGAGTTTTGGCACTACGTTGAGTACGCACAAAGAAGAAAAAGTGATGTTAGTAGTAGTAAAAGTAGTAGTAGTCATCTGGTTTATTAGAAGTAAGAAAAGAATGGAAATTTGGACAAATGGAGGCCCACGCATATATTATTTAGCACAAGAGCCAACAAAGTATATCGGCCACCGCATTATGTAAATAACCCCCGCAGTTTTAGGGGGTTTAGGGCAAAGAATTTAGAATTTAGTGATAAAAACAAATGTAAATGGTGCCAAATAAATATATAGTCTAAACAAAGGAACATGTATGCCATTGTCATGAAGATAAATCATCAAAATCAAAAATATCATGTTTATAATGTGCACTTCTAAAGCCATTGTTTAATTTATTTAACTCAATCCCACAGTGCAAAGATGGAGCCTCTATTGTTTCCACTGTATGAACATGCTGTCAGAAATACTGATCAATTTCTGCATGCTTCTGCAGGCCAGGAACTCCTCCAGCTCCTACTCCAGTTCCCTGAGAGAACTCCTCCAGCGCAAGATCACCGCTCTGGAGGAGCAGCTGCACAGCTACTACCGAGATCACCGTGAATATGGTCACCATAACGACCACCACGATGACCACCATGATGACCACCACGACGACCACCGCAGCAGCAGCCACTATGACGACCATCATGATGACCACCACGATGACCATCATGGTACCAGTCACCACGATGACCACCATGATGACCACCATGGTACCGGTCACCATGAAGACCATCGCAACAACCACCGCAGTAACCACAGGCACAACCATCGCAGCAGTCACCATAATCGTCATCATGACCGCCAGTATGACTGGCACCACGGCCGGCATAATGGTTATTATGGCAACCATCACAGCAACCATCATGTTGACCGTCATGGTGACCATCATGATGACCATCATGATGACCATCATGATGACCACCACAATGACCACCATAATGATCACCATAATGATCACCACAATGACCACCATTATGATCACCACGACTATTACCATGGACCTGGACACTTCGATGACCACCACAATGACCACCACGATGACCACCATGATGACCACCATGACAACCACCATGGTATTGATTCTAACCCACAGCGGCTGCCTTTCAATAGCAAAGAGACAAGTCTGCGTGGAGCTGGGCACAGCAAGCTGGAAACAGTGCTCAGCCAACTGCACCACGGCAGCACTGACCACGGTACAAACGCACAACAGCTACTGCATAGTTTACCTTTCCATGTTATTGTTGTTTTAACATTTTAAACTACTCCCGTGATTATTTGCCTACATTTAAGTAACAGTAAGGCCACAGTTTTGCTCAACAACAAATACTAAGAATTAAACCTGGCAGGTCAGTTAACATTTTTTGCTGGAGAAGGTATGAGGTACAAGAAATCTGTCTGTTGCTGTTTTTAACTGTACATTTATCATGAAAGTTCCCTCAACAAAAAAAAAGATGGGTACTAGAAGTTCCATTGTTTTATTGCTCTTGTAGCTACACATTACCTAAACTGAACATGTTTTATATCATGCTCATGCTGTACTTTTACTAATTATACATCCTCCAGTCGTTTACTTTCGTTAAAGGAGTACAGTTGCACTTTGGGAAAAGGCATATTTAAAAAAATTTTTTTACTGTGCACGAGAAGGGATCACAAAAGTTGTTTTCTAAGTATGAGTTGTATCTATTTTTAGGAAACAAGTGGCTTAATTCTGTAACTTGAACGGAATCCTAAATACAAAATTCTCGTATGAAAGAACAAATAAACACAAACTGGTTTAACTCACGCATTCAATATGACTCACATGTAAAAACTCTTGGTAGAGAACATAAAACAATGCTTGTTAAGTTTGACTTGATCATAAATTACCTTTATGAACATTACAATAGCTAAAATTCCTACAGATAAGACAGAAGCATTTGGCTAAGACATCAAAGGATTTGCTTTGTCAGGTGTTGAAACAGTTTTATGTACTATCCAAATGAATCATCTGAATCAAAATTCTGCACTCTCCGTCTCACCAGGAAACCAAAAGAAGCTAAAGAGTCCTAGCGCTTTCTTGCTCGACTTTCCCATGAGGACCAACTACATGTATGCCAGGATGAAGCGGTCAGTGGTCAGCGAGATCTTTGCCCTGACTATCTGCCTGTGGCTAAAGGCAGGTGCAGGTCCTGGCATTGGTACTCCCTTCTCCTACGCCATACCTGGACAAGCAAATGAGCTGGTGCTCATCGAATGGGGCAGTAACCCCATGGAGCTGCTACTCAATGACAAGGTAAAAGCAATGCAATAAAAAGTAATGCACAGAATCAAGGGCCTGAAAATTTTGAGGAACCAAAATTTGGATACTAAAACTCACTTTATTGGATGTTTTACAAATTCAGTTGTTAAGATGACACATAGCTCCTCTTTGTGTGGTTATCCCCGCTGATTCTGGGACAGAAAACACTGGTATTGGTACTGTATATTAGGATTAAAGACATCCTCTATCCTCTAAGAAGTTCTTATAGAGGGATTTTCCAGTCAAAAATCTATTTCTCTGAGCTTTAGGAGACCAGTGACAGTAGGTAACACTGCAGTTCTCACACATCTATGCCCCAGAGTGTAAATAACCTTGCATGCAGTGAGGTATGACAGTGATACACACCTCAGCCTGACAGCAGCATCACCTCACCAGTGGAGGTCAGATCTACGATGAGAGGACTGTGACCTCAGATTCACCACAATATTTCCACAGAGCCAGGCTCTGTGTACTGTAGTGTACTGCTCTCAGTCACTGGTTAGTCAGATGAACTTGTCAGCTGGCAGTGACATTCACAGATTAAAAGGCAGGGGTGGAAATGAGAAGGAGACACACACATACATTCTGTCTTTGTATGTGCTATGCAGACAGAAGTAGTATTCAAGGTACAGGAAATATAGAGTATCAATGCCCATTTATGCTGGTGCTATATATAAAATAGTTAGCCAAATCATAGTCTATGCAGGTAGACACTAGTTGGCTTGACCCTCCTCAAACACAAAAAAACACAAAATCTTTAACTGGTCAGCTCGGGCTGCTTGTGTTTTCTCCTGTTAGTTTATGATGGCTGTGGGGATTGTACATTATGAAGACTACTAGTAAAGCCATTTCATCTGCAAACCTTCTGCTCAACATGAAGTGCAGCTATTTATCTAAATGAATGAAACAACTTTAATTCTGCAATTGCCTCATACATATAATACGACATGTACATGCATGTAGCATATTGTCAGTCTCTATCTTGAAAGAATATAAACACAGTTATTGTGGGTAATGAAAATAAAAGCATCACATGTCCTGATTACTTACAATATATTAGCCAAGTGTTGTAAATTTACAGTAAGGCTTAATATGTTAAAATATTTCATATCTAACATTTCCATTCTGTTTTTGGAGCTTTCTCTCTCTTTTATACCTACAAAGGAGGTCAGGTTACTTCAGGTCTTCTTATTTTCGTTTTGCTATTTCTCCCACAAAAGGCTTAGAAACTCCTGTGATTGCTGACATACAAATTATTCAATTGTTCTATTAGCCTCCTAATCTGTCATTCTCTGAAAGACTGATATCCTTTTCCCCTAAACAGAAGACAGATGTTTGTCCTTTTCCCTTCCTTGCCCCAGTAATGTGAGCAGTGAGCTTAGCAAACAAATCACAAAGCAATTAATCTGATTATAGTAATTGATTCGCCTAATTGTCTGTAGGAGTGACATTACCAGGAAGGAGAAACTGTCATGTTTGTTTTCTTCTACATGCACACTACTTGGCAGTCATCAAACCGATCAGTGACACAGTTAAATGATCCTCAGAATGCAGATTAATCTCAATCTTTAATTCATTTTCTAGAGTTTGAGGATGAACAAAGAGTGGATATTCTCACATTAGTTTGCCTACATTAGTCAGCACTTGAAAGACAATGAAAGACAATGCCTTGTTTCTGTGTGGATGGTCATATGTATGAATAACAGTGGGACATTTTTGTTGTCAAGGGTTTGTTATACATGAAGTTTTTAAAATGTTATACTCAAAGATAAATATCCACCACTTGAAACATTTGTTTGTAACATTTCTTAAACGGTGAACTTTGTGAAAGCCTCAGAGAATGCATATATATATATATGTGTATATATATACACACATATATATGGAACCATTTTATTCAGATTAATGAATCTGGTGCAAAATGTTTCCCTCATAAATAATGGTGTGACTGGGGCCTTAAACTAGAACAGTGGTTCCCAACATTGGGGCCAAGACTCCTTTAGATGGAAGATGAACACTTCTCATGGTACATCTGTCTGTCTCTGTCTATCTGTCCGTCCACCTGTGTTTAGGCGGTGACATTGCCCATAACCATGACAGATGGGAAGTGGCATCACATGTGCGTGACATGGTCGACACGCGATGGTGTCTGGGAAGCCTACCAAGACGGGTTGAAGAAAGGCTCGGGGCAAAACCTTTCCGCCTGGCACCCCATTAAGCCAGGAGGGACCTTCATCCTGGGCCAGGAGCAGGTAAGACATTCAGCATGCCGTCTGACAGAGATCCTGTGTGTACAAAAACTGTACATGGATACAGTTATTGGGGAATAACCATTTTCTCCATTAACTAACTCTAGTCATTTCTCTTTAGACTTGATGTCCTTAAATTTCATAAAATGAGCATGTTTTCCAATGCAATTATGTCTTAAAGAAACACATCCGACCACAAAAACTTTCTGGTCCAGACATGCAGTTATCAGCTACCCGACCCAAGAATTACATCCATATTGGACAATTCTCCACCTCACAATTCACAGCCAATGCCAACGTTCAGTACAAGTCTGTGAAGTAGTGTGTTGGGTCAGCACGTCTGACTTTTATGCAAGAGAAAGTTTGCCATCACAGACATGCAATCATTGTTTTCCTTCTTGCTACTGCAGCAGGAACAGTGATCTTTCAGCTGGATTTAGCTATAATCATGATATTGTTTTATGACTTTCAAAAGCTCACAGTTAGATCTTCAGGCAATCACCCCTGAGCAAAGGTTCAGATTATCCAATTCTTTCAAACTTGACCTGTTCTTCACTGGTCCTCACAGGACACGATGGGAGGCCGCTTTGATGTCACTCAGTCCTTCATGGGAGAGATGTCTGATCTCCAGTTCTGGTCCAGAGTCTTGACGCCCAGCGAGATCTACAGCCAGGCGACCTGCGGAGCCCACCTTACTGGTGATGTCATGTCCTGGTCGGAGGAGTCATTGGAGCTCCATGGAGGGCTCACCGAGATCCCCTTTGATCCCTGCCACTAAGGACTGACGCCGGAACCCCACACCGAAAGCTGTAGCATCATCATTACCACATGTTTTGTGGCATGCCCATGTCAAAAATTGTCGGAGAAATGGAAAATGTTATTTTGTCATGGATTAAAGATTGGAGAATAATTTAATTCATTGCTCTCTCTGTTTTTTCATCATATTGGTCTGCAGAAGATTAATAACAAAAGCTCAGTCAGGGGCAACAGACAGAGCAACGACTTATTTTGCTTTTCAATAAATCTTTTGCCATTCCTGTTCGATCTTTCTGCCTTCTCCACCTACACCTTCACTTCTTCGCTCTGACGCTCTCAGCAGGATGACTTTGAAAGCACCATAGGCCGCAGGGCTTTGGATTTACCGGCTGTGTGACCATGACTACGGCTGCTATGAGAGATCCAACACACATAATAGGATTTCTTTCCATCTGACCAGGTACAAAGGTTGCTTGTTGCCATTAGCTTACCTGCACTAGCTTTTTTGTCTGGTATGTGAGCAACATAAGCATTATAGAAGGTGAAAGAGTGGCTAAAAGGCACAGGATTTCTGACAAATTAAGCCACATGGACGATCTGAACTGTGAGGAGTCATACATGTTGCAAAATACTTAAAATTGAATATCTGCTCATTCTTTTGTGGAGACAGAGGAATATTGTTGCTGCAGGACTTTTTTACAATGCAGGTCAAATTTGGCACAGGGTTAGCGCAACCTACTGATGTTAATTTTGCACATTGTTGGCTGTTTTATACTAGTATTTCATATTGAAAACTCTACAACAGGCTTTTTTGTAGAAAGAAAAAAAAATGTAATGCATGTATTACGTGTTCTTTATGACTGTAAAATTGCAGGACTGAGTATGATGTTTTAAATTTAAACAATTCTCTGTCTGTAAGTGGATCTGTTTCTCTGTTCAAAAGTCAAACTGTCATAGAGAGCACGACCACGTCTCAACGAGCCACCTAACTGCATCAATACAGTTTTAACCATCTCTCAACATGCCACCACGTCATAATGCTGATGTCTCCTCTGCAACCGGTGGCTTACAGTGGGATTTATCTGTCGACAACAGATTTGATCCTGCCTATTTCCGACCAGCTCAAACCACATGGTAGAGTCAGACACACCAGCACAAACACGCTCAGAGAAGACGCAGTTGATCTCATGACAACTGTAGATGCACCTTCATGTTTTTATAACAAAAGAGGTTTTTGTACATGCAAATTATGTCAGATAGTCTGTTTTTAATTATTAAAAACATTTATTATGGCATTTCTCACATTGTAAATAATTTAATAAGTACATAGCACTTTCTCCACCCATTCTTAACCCTATGTTTGTTTGTAAAGCACATCTTTGGGAGTAAACTTTGTTTATTATAACCCTATCCCCTCCAACTTCATGGTGACAGAATCTCTCAGACTCCGGACTACATGATCCCGACAGTGTCGCACTACAGCTGTAAATATCTGCGAAATGTTTCTTAGACTGTAATGCCAAGACAAACAGCACTTTGAAACCATGCTACTGTTTTCTTCTTATGATAGTGGGCCAAATACATGTAACATGTCTTTCATATGTTTCTTCTGTCTTTGTTACATAGGCTTCAGTTTATACACCTCCTCCTACTACCGAACTGTGTAGTTTGTAAGCTGAATGTTGACATTAAATATGTAAAAAATAAGATAAACAATTTTATGCATGAAGACTTGCTTATTCTCGCCTTTGGTGTACATTTTGATTTCCATTAGGTGTTTTGTCATGTTTGTTTTTGTGTCTTTGGCTGTAAATATTCAAAGTATTACATTGTGTTCAGTCAACAGTCCCTCCCTTAAGTAAGCCAAAACTATAAACTGAGTTGTAAAACTTGAAAGAGGAAGAAAATGCTCTATAAACACTGTCAAATATTTGTATATATGTCAGGATTTTGAATAAAACTATTTACAATATTTTATGAATTCAAACTGGACTACAAACTAGTGTCTTATAACATTTTGCACAGTACAATCTATAATATGCACATTTTATATTGTTTTGTGACTGAATTCCAAAAGCAATTCGGTTAGGTTTAGGCACAAAACCTCTTTGTTTGGTTTTAAGGAAATATTGCGGTTTGGGTTAAAATTCTTTAGTTAAGGTTGGTGGATATCCCGTCGTCGGTCATCATTATAGTAAAAGTAGAACATGTGGTAAAGGTTAGGGAACGATTGTGATCATGTTTGTTTGTCACATATGTTCATCCTATCCATTTACTCCAATGGTCCTTAAGCCGACTTTGGTGCTCTATAACTTCACCTGAATTCATCCCGTCATAATTACTACAGCCACTAGCAGGCTTCAGCCTCATACCTAAACCTCAAAATAGTTAGACGGTCAATTGTTCCAAAACAACATATGACCATTCCCCATAACGACACTTTCTAGCACTGGAACATACCAGTCTGGCGACAGGGCTTCCGGACCTTAAGTATATTATGCAAATCATGTGATTTAAGTCAAATGACGTATAGCATGTGGTAAATATTGTGAAACGGTTGTAGTTCGGTTCAGGGAGCAAATTATAAAGTGACAACAGTACGGCACAGGCGCAAGCTTCAGCGAACTAAAATCTTACAATGCATACAATGCCTTTGCTTATTTAACTAATTTCATCAGTCTGTAGATGATGATAAATCAAATTCCTTACACCAGTTGATGGGTGCCCCATAACACATGACAACTTTTGTAGTCAGAGGTCACCAAGTATTCTAGAGCAAGTCAGACACACAACAGCAGACCATCATGACTGCTCAAAACAATTTCAATTCAATTTTATTTATATAGCGCCTAATCACAACAACAGTTATCTCACAGCGCTTTTCATAAAAGAGCAGGTCTAGACCGTGACTCTATGATGCTATTTACAGAAGCCCAACAGTTCCCACCAAGAGAAAGCACTAGGCGACAGAGGCAAGGAAAAACTTCCTTTTAAGAGGCAGAAACCTCGAGCAGAACCATGGATCAGGGTGGGCGACCATCTGCCTCGACCGGTTGGGGGTGAAGGAGAGAGAGAGAGAGAGAGAGAGAGAGAGAGAGAGAGAGAGGGCAGGAGAGGAACAGAGAGAAAAAGAGAGGGATGGAAGGAGAGGGAGGGGAGGGAGGTAGCCTACACAATATACACACAGAGGTACAGACAGTGAAGGTGAAGTTGCTATAGTCTAAATGAAAAATGGTCCAGATATTTATAGTAGTGTTAATGATAACAGTCGTAATGTTAATGATTATAATAACAATAATAACAATAGGACTAGCAACAATAGTCGTTGCAGTAGAGGGTGTCGAGCAGGAACACGGGGGCAGCAGGTGACCCGCAACCACAGATCCAGACTCCACAGCTCCAGAGCCAGAAAACCTGCAGGAAGTGATAGGAGGAGAGAGGAGAGGGATGAGAAAGCACAAGACTACCAGAAAGGGGAGAAGTTGTGTTAGTAACATGCAATAATGGGATGAGGTTGCATACAGAGGGAGAGAAAGTAGAGGAGAGAGGAGCTCAGTGCATCATGGGAAATCCCCCGGCAGTCTAGGCCTATAGCAGCATAACTAAGGGATGGTTCAGGACTCACCTGAGCCAGCCCTAACTATAAGCTTTATCAAAGAGGAAAGTCTTAAGCCTACTTTTAAATGTGGAGATGGTGTCTGCCTCCTGAACCCAAACTGGAACCACAGGAGAGGAGCTTGATAGCTCTGGTGGGGTAGTAAGGTACTATGAGCTCTTTAAGATAAGATGGTGCCATTAAGAGCCATTTAGAGCTTTGTCGATGAGAAGAATGATTTTAAATTCTATTATAATCTATATAAAACAAACCCACACAGCACAATACAAGTTTAAAGTTTCAGCTTACTCTTTTTCAGTAAATATCTCCTTTCCTCTTGCTCATGTTGACTGTGAATGGTGTAATCTGCGTCCAATAAAGCTGTAGTCAGACAAACACTGTCGTTGGGGAATTGGGAATTCCAGAGTTAAAACAAATGCCATGTTTATTGTGAAAGGACAAAAAACTTGAATATAAAATAATAAACTCTATATTGATGAAAAATGTAACTCTACAATATCTAATCCCCAATTTCACTGCTCATGCCTAAACACCAGTGTTAGCCGACAATTACATAATATAATGAAATGATAGGGTTGGCTCTCAGCCAGCTAACATCAGATTGCTCATTTTAAGTAAAAGAAATGCTAATAACGAATCTCTGAAGGTAGGAAAGTTAAGTGTATTAAAGCAGCTAGATAGCTACTGACATTAACCTGCTGCTTCTCCATTAGCGTGTGCTGCACCGGACTGGAGCAGCTGCGCTGCGAGTAATGCAGAAAGACAAGATGTTCAGCTAACGTCAATGTTAGGAAATGGTAAGGTATGAGTACAGGAAATGTAATATTTACTAATACAGTTAAGAAAGACCCCCCTCAACTGTTGTTTTTGCCTCTTTTGGGGGGGTCCAAGCCTTAACTAGGGGGGTCAGACACCCCCAATTTTCCCTGTAATTCAAATCATGGTTTGGTTAGGTTTAGACAACAAAACTGCTTAGGTTGAGGAAAAGATCATGGTTTGGGTATAAATATGTGCATTGCGCAAACCACGTGATGGGACTCGAACCACGGTCTTCTCAATGAAAATCTTTTTTTACAAAATTTTACAAAAGACTTCTACTTTAGGAATTTTACTGAGGAATTTTACTTTATTTTATATTATATCACCTGACTTCTTCTGCCGCTAGAGGTCCCTGCCTAACAAAAGGCATAAATCTTGTTTGGGCTGGCTTTGTCAAATTATTGATGTCATTCTTCTTGGGAGGACAGTCTCAAACAAACACTGGGCTGAGAGGATTCATTGCCTCACTGTTTTAAAATACAGTATTAGACCAAAGAGAACAATACATTGTTAAAATGAAAGCCCTAAGAAGTATCAAAAATGGGGTATGATATCACATCAATCTTAATGATTTTAACTGGAAGAACAGAAAAAACACTGGAAGATCAAGACACATGTCAAATATAATAAACGTTGGATTACCATTTAAGCAAAGTAGACATCTGACCCAGTTAATGGGGTCCCAGCAGATGATATTTTCTCAGGGGCCTTTTAGCAGGTTGATCCAATGAAATAAATAAAGTGCAGGTGCGAATGTCTCTGTGTTACACTGATGACTAACAGTATTCGTCAACAACAATTTACAGTACTGGAGAAATGAAGAACAGATGGTGATGGGGACTCGCATGGTAGACTGCTGAAATCTTCCAGCTTGTTTGGTTATCAGACCTAGTTCTGCTTTGCATACAGCTGCAGAGGAGCCAGTATTTTCATATGAGATGTTTAATTCTACATTGAAAACTAACCAGAGGAGCACTGGGCTGTTCTTTTGTAGCTGTTTGGGAGGATTTATGTATTGAAACAAAATGTGCACATCATGCATTAATGCAGCATTAACTTAAACCAAATCTTTATGTTGGAACTGATGAAACCATGGGAGTGAACAATGGATCGGCTATTTTGGAAGAAGAACAACAGGAAACGTCTACAGACCAAAGTAACTGTTTTTCTTGCTACAGCCACATGTTTTAAACTTCACAAAAGATATTAATTAATTTTTGTTTCTATAAAATCATGATTTTATCATGCAAATTAAAGCCTCTTCATTTTACACAGAGATCAAGTGCATTAAGTGGATTTTTGGAGTACTTGCAATTTCTGTGTTTTATATTTTGTGCTGTTTTACAAATCAATTACCTGCATGATCTGTGTCAAGTGAGTTTTACTCATTATTACCTTAGCTTATGATTTTGTTAATGAGTTGTCCTTTCTGTTTTGCAGTGACTAGTTTAAAGGCTGTGTCCCAAAGAACAATGATAACTATAACATAATAGTAGCTAATAATAATAATTTAAAAAAGTTATTTGTCTGGCTATGCAGATTGTTTCAGCTTTATTTGCTGAGGTTTTGAGAAGTGCCTCCTTCAGTAAATTTTGTTAGTTGTGTGTTTTTGTGCATTTAAGTGGCATCATAAAATCTCAAAAATGTTTCTTTCCAGAAACATATATAGCCCAGCTACTTAGGATAATCTACAAACCTCGCTGTGGGGGGGCAGCTGAAGTCCCTGCAACACTTCAGCAAATAAAATTGAAACTATCAGCACTGCTACATTCCATCATAGGTGAGTGGGAAATACAAGCTGCCAGTGTATGAGGTACATCTGCAGAATCTCATCCCTATTCAACAATCGAGCAGTACAGCAAGCTAATCGATATGATCCTACAATCACTTTTAACTCAACATCAGCCTCATAAAGACAGAATTTACTGCTGGACTGTTGGATTGATTCATTTAAATGTTCAATAATGTAATAAGTCAGCTGCTGAAATAGCAGTTTATGTAAAGTGTTGCTTTTTGTCCGTGTTGCTGTTTTGTCTCTCAGGCTTGTTCAGTCACTACAGACAGCTGGCTCATTACTTCTCTCTGCTCTGCTTTCTGCTCACCATCATCACTCTGTTCCAGACTTTCTGCTGTGAGTACTTTATGATACTTTGATGTCGAAACAGGTGCAAGTTTTTATTAATTCATGTAAATCTTTGATACACAGTAATAATAAAGGGATATCAAGGCCCATTTTAGTACAAACTCAATGAGCTACACTTCCAATCCATAAAGCAGCAAGTGAAATACACAGTAGAATTATACAAATACAATACGATAAAGAAAAGAGAAAGGAAAAATAAATACATATTAAGAGGTATTTTATAGGAAGAGATATTGTATGTAATTTATATTTAACACAATTTATAGTGTATAGTAAATTATAAAATATAATTCAGAAATGGACGTAACCAACATTACATTAAGATTAATTTAGGTGTAGTTTTCTTTTTTGTCAATAAATGCAATGAGAAGAACAAAAGCAACAATGTGTTAGTCCATACCTCAATACTTTCTGACTTCCCTGTCTGTGGCTCTCAGCTCCAAGCCCCTCGGTTCCTACTGAAGACGAAGATCTTCAGAAAAAAAAGGTCTTACCAACATGTGGTATTTTTTGTTATTATATAAAGGCTCAAACATTTCCTAAAACAGCTGATCAATGTAGTTTTTAGTTTTAGTTTTAGTCACAGGATGACATTTGTTGGGGACTATTTCCTGTGGCGGATTAATACACATTTGGTGTATTAAGTGTTTGTGTTCATGGTAGTGAAGGAGCGTGTCACCCAGTGCAGCAGTGTGGCTCAATGACGTGTTTTAATGTGATGTGGTTTTGGACAACAGCGGGCCTTTGTGGCACAGAGGAATGACATATATCTTTAGAAAGATAAATCTCCTAGCTTTGGATACTCACATAATGGAAGGATCACATGATTGTTAGGTTTTTTTTCATGGTATTTGTTGACAAAAAGGGTATTGACAGCAGCCATGAATTGATAACGTCTTCATCCAGAATATTCTTTAGACTCGAAACAGCAGCTGTCAATCTGACAGAAATGCAGACGTCATTCTTTTCACATCTTATTTTAGACTGAATGTCTTCATTTGAAGGTTTTATAGAGAGGATTAACTCTTTATGTTCCTTCAGAATGGATCTTTTTTTTACCTCCCCCCGACACATCTTTTTAGTGTCCTGTATCCATGGAAACAGGTGATGGGACATTGTGCATGTCATTTTATGTCTTTTATGTGTGTTTGATATCACAGTGGTTCAGATCACCTTGATGTTCCAGTCACAGTCAATCCTGCAGGAAACCAAACTAAGAGATCTGACAAACAGACTGGAGAAGCTCAACCAGTCGTATCGCCTCCTGTTCTCCCAGTATCCAGCTCTGAACGAGTACTGCCCAGTCAGCAACTCCACCACCAGTGGTAAGCGCTGTGTGTGTGCGCTCTTGGGGTCAGGACTAATGAGCACCCAAGCTTTAGATCTTGGTAGTGAGGACATTGAGTTGAGAAAAAGTTAATTAGGTATAGGCCGATGTTAAAATAACACTGGTACTTAAATATGCAAATATCAGCCTGTCAGGATAAAAAAGAGAGGGAAAAGTGAAATGACAGCATTTTCCTCTCCCTCATTATCACCTCTGAAGTTCCACTGGCCAAGGCACTTAACCACAAACTGCTCCTGTGAAGCTGCTCAGTGGCCATGAGATCAGGCTTTGGCGTTACCTGGTGTGAATATGTGCAACTGGCTTTCACATGTGTTTCACTTCATGGCCTACTTGTTTCAGCTCTTTTTCAATTCCCTTTGTCAGTGTTGACTTTCCAGTCATTCCGTAGAATCGGGCATGCATCTGCAGATTAAACACTAGGAATTATTTGCAGAAACCGTTTGACCCTGCAGCTCTGATTTGCATAGTGCAAAAGTACACAAACCACAAACAGCTCAAGCTTGGCAAAGTGAGCTGTGCATTTTAAAATATGTTTTGTGTATGATACTGGTGGAATCTGCACTTCTTTATGTGCATTAAACATTTTGCATGACTATCACAACTCCCGGTATGCATGATGTACTACTGTTGTGCTGTGTACTGTTTCTTAAAATAATACACACAAATTAACTTAACAAAATTAATTTGAAAACATTTGAACATGCTTTTAGTGGGCTTTTGATGCAGCCTATTATTTTTACACTATTGATTTTAAAAGGTACATTCAATTTTGTAATTCATGCACAAAAGGGTTGAAACAGTCACATAGGAATGTTTTCACAGTTAGAAAAAATCTGTTGAACATTGACCCAGTCTTGGCTTTATGACAGGGTCATCTGGAGCAGATCAAAACACAAAACTCACTCTCACTCATTTCATCCGTCTTCTTTGGGTTATTTTACGCAGAGAGAGTGTGCAGACCATGTCAAGCCGGCTGGACACATCAGGGAGAGAAATGTTTCCTCTTCAGTCAAGACAGAGCGGACTGGATCAGCAGCCAGTACCACTGTCTGGCACTAGGGGGCGCTGTGGCCACAGTTAGAACAGAGGAGGAGCAGGTGAACACAAACTTCGTTCCTGCTTTATTCAATCATTTAATTCATTCATTAAACGCACTTCATTTTCATTTCATATTTTATTCGTTAAGTTATTATAAGTGTGTTTAAATTCCATTATACTACACATAATATCACTGGAAAGTGGGAAATCTCTGCCCTCTTTCTTTAGTGTTCATGTGTCTTACTTAGAGCTCCACTGATGATATTTTTGCATCTGTCCAGTTGTAAACATTTGAAATGCTTTCCCTGAAATATCAGATTCAAGGACACACATTTTGACACCATGAGAGAGAGGAGTTAAGAATAGATTTAAGACCTCTATGAAATATGGAGATGTCTGCAGGAACGGCCACTGCTTGAGGTCATCTGAGGTTTTCTTTTTCTGTTTTACTGTATATGTAACACAGTTTATGTTCTTTGAGGGGAATTAAACCTTTCTTCTGACTTGTTTCTCAGGTGTTTCTGTGGAAAAAGGCTCAGAGTCTGAGCCATGGAGACTCGTACTGGCTGGGCCTGAGGAGCAGTGGTGGTGACAGGGGCTGGCAGTGGAGTGACGGCTCCCCGGTGGAAAAGGGACCCAAGTGAGTAATGACAAGCAGGAGGTCCAAAATGGACGCTCCTGAGGTGACGAGCCATCGGACTCTGATTTCTATTCCTGCAGCTTGAGAGTATGGTCACATGCTGCTGGTTCACTTGTGAGGACACAAGTATGGGACCTTGAGATGAGTGATTCCATGTGAAGATATTAAAATGTATGCCCTGAGTGAAATATTTGTTTTATGAGATCTACTGACTCTGTTCAGACTTTCCTCCAGGGTAACAAGAAACAGAAGTCTCGCTCAAGGACAATTCTCGCTCTGAAATCTCATGAGAGGCGAGTTGTTGCTGAAAATGCCAATTCAACCGAGGGAGAGGAGTTTGTTTTGTACATAGAAGAACTGCTAGAAAGACTCCTCTCTCCAATTCTGACTCATGTTTCAACCGTCATCTTCCTGCAACAACTCACCTCTCACGAGATTTCAGGGCGAGAATTGTCCTTGAGCAAGACTTCAGGTTTCACTGGGAGTCACTCGCAGGGATCCTCTCCCTGTACCTAGTAAAGTCCAAAGTAATTTCGACCCCAAAACATGTGTTAATAGGGCCCAGGTTTCAAAATAAGGGAAATTATCCTTTAACAGTCATTCAAGCACCAGGTAAAGTGAAATAGCCTTGAATCATACATTTTGATCATACTCAGCAGTAACCTTCTCTTTGGATATACTGTCATCATGTTTGATCGGAGGGGCTTGAAAGTCAGTGGGAGGCTGTTTTAATTTTATGATGCATTTCCTCTGAAGGAGTAGTGGTTGCCATGGTAACAGATTAAAGAATATGGGTCCCCCCCCCCCCAACCACCACTTCTCTGCAGGTTTTGGGAGCGTGAGCCCGATCAAACAGACAGCAGGGAGCTGTGTGGTCGACTCGCCCCAGGAGACGACTACAGGAGGAGCTGGTTCACTTACAGATGTTCCAACCTTCTCAGGAGGATCTGTGAAAGGAGACAAGCTACTCTACAGTGAGAGGAAAGGAAATGAAATAAGTTACAAAGAAGCAGAAAGGGCCAGATTAGTAAGAAGCAATTCAGAAGCATGCAACTGATATGAGCCTATATAAGATGTTGATTTAAATGTATTAGCTAAATAGTAATAAAATACTAAAATAATTCTTGTATGTTTGATGTAGCCTTTTAGTTGTTATTGTTTGGTGTTTCCTTACCAGGGATATAACTTCACTGATCATTATTCAAACTCCTCTGAAGATTAGTAATATTTGTGTGTGATTTTGCCTTTAAAAAATAAACAATAGGAATACTATTATGAGTGATTAAAAAAAAACTGATGTTTTCTTGTAATGGGGATGCAAAATAAATGTGTTAGATGATATATGAAATTATTATTAAATTTAAAGGTCAGGATTCTTTACTTTCACATACAAAAATTCATCCCCTTAACCATTTGCTAACATGTTTTTGATGGTGTGGAAAAGTAACCCACACAGACACGGGGAGAACATGCAACTCTGCATAGAAAGACCCGGGACGACCAGGGTGCGAACATGCTACCATCTTGGCCACAATGCTATCATCCACTGGACCACTGTGCTGAACATGCAAGAACAAAATTGATATAAGCACAAATATTTTTAACACTAGATCCACGCTCTGGTTTTGTCTTAGGTTAGCATTCATCTTCAGTAGAAATTCGTTAAGATTTTCTGTCTGAGGTCATATATAACATAATTTAAATGCTGCAATTGAATGTGGTATTTAACCATTTTGTGTTAGCATTCATCATCATAATCATCATGTCAACAGGTTGTCTCAGGGCCTCTGTGGGTTGTCTGCACCGCATCATCCTTGTCTGCTGTTTTCAGTCTGCAGTTGTACGTCCTCGGAGTGTCCAGCAGGTGGCGGTGCTGCCTTTTCAAACATCATTTTAAGCGTGTGTTTCCCGACATGCACTGCGAGTTAGCGGCCCTTCAGACGAAAGGTCACCGAGGGTTGAGATTATAAGGTTAGCGGAATTTCTCTGTGGAAGGTAAACAGGTTTTTCTTAAGAATACCTTGCGTTTTGCTTCATCAGTACGTTGTTAGTTATGGCTTTTAAGTGTATGTATATTAGCCGGTTAGGTACGTTATCAGGTTAGATGAATAAGCGTCCACGTAATCATTAGCAAACATCCAGTGACGGCTAACCCGCTTAACGTTAAATTTAACTTTGTCTTTAACGTTATCTGTAAAGCCTAATGACAGAGAACCACTCTTATTCTTTTTAATACGATATATTGTTCAACCAGCGTTAAGTGTATTCTTCACAAACAGCTGAACAGTCGCTTCCTTTCACTGGTTCTCGGCTCTGAAGGTTAGCCCAACCCGCTAGAACCTACCGTCATCTGTTGAACTCCATTTGGGAAAAGCGGTGTTTTTAATATTTCCCGTGTTATTATTAAATTCATACGTAGTAGAGCACAATTGAAGGTATTTTAATAGTCAGTAGGGTCATCTGGTAATTTCGGCTCTAAAGACAGTTAACCAAGACCTGCTTAAACTAAGCAAATGGTGAAGTTTATCAACTAACGTCAGTGCGCGTTGCTATCCACTGCCATGGACTGTGCGTTTGGGGGATAAAAATGGGCTCTCTTGTAGTGAAGATCAACTGTGGTCCTGCAGTGTTAGTCAGTGTGATCTAATTTTAGAGTTGCTCACACACTGTTGGACCTCTGCACATATCCAGCAGCTGAAGATGTCTGACCATATCGAGGAGAAGATCAAGAACTACAGGACGGCTCCGTTCGACGCCCGCTTCCCCAACACCAACCAGACCCGCAACTGTTTCCAGAACTATCTGGGTAAAGGCAACCTGCTTCATTTCACTGTTGTACTTAAGTTCATAAAGTAGATAATCTGTCAAGGCTGTTAAAGATGGATGTGATTATTCAGTTTTCTTCACACCTTGTCTTGCCACTTTTCCTTGTGTCAGACCTGTAACTTTACTCTGCTGTTCCCTCGTTTCTTCCAATACTGAATCCAACCTGAACTTTTAATGGACACAGGTCACATCTACCTCAGAGTCACTCTGCTTTGCTCTAAGGCTTCTGTGTTCGCTGTGAATGAATGTGTGAATGGAAGAGCTGAGTTTAACTGCAACTTTAAAGTCAAACATTCTCACTCGCTTCCTTTTCTCTCATCTTGATTCCTGTCATCTGTTCATGCAAAGGCTTTTACTTTCCATTGTATTTGGCACGGTATTTTCCTTTACTGCCGCTGTGTCAAGGTAGTATCATGTTTGATCTGCTGAAGACTAAATTATGGATGAACGGTTTCTTTACTCATATTCATTATTGATCACTGCTCGTAGCAATTGTGGTATTTAATGTCCTCTTACTTCTGTCTTCTGTTTCCAAACTGCGGGGGATCCCGTTACGGGGCGCCAGCTGTGCACGTTTATAGGTGATAGATATTTATTAGTCCTTTCGGAAATTCATAGTGTGTCATACAGCAAACATCGGACCAACAACCAGACAGCTGCTTTACAAACACAAACATAACCCGAGTGCTCTACAAGTTATACTAAAGGCTCGTGCAGACTACACGACTTTCAGCGTCGGCCGCTGGCATGCCGTTCACACAACTTGCCATCATATGATGGCAGTCTTGAAGTTGTTGTGGCGTTCACACTACGTGACAGATCGGTGACAGGGACGCACACACACTACAAGAGCAGATAGCCGTGTCACCCGACCTTTCTCACGTGAACGGGAAATGAGCGATCCTGCACACGAAACAGCTGTTTGTTATTATAAAGATGGCGATTATAAAGACAAAGAATCTGGGTTAAGGATGGATTAGCACACGCAGGTAGCAGGGATTGTCTGAGCTACAGAGAGAGCTGCAGGGGAGTTAAAAGGTGCAACTCCCCGACAGCCAGTTAACTCCTGACTGTGAGGTTACAACTCACGGGCCAAAAAGGAGAATAACAAACGCACGTGTGCACATTTTCAGCTGAGGACTGCGGCTTAATTTGGCTTCAACTCAACAATCAGTCATGATTTCAGTTAAATGCTAAAGTTGCTGTTGCCTTGTCTGCGGTCTGCTGGCAGAACACCAGCTGCTTTCTGATAAAGTGCCGTCGTGCTGTTGCAGAGGTGACAAAAGTTTAATTTTACGGTGGACGGACGGTAACATTACAGAGTTTCTTTAGCTTGAAATAATCCTAGACTTTGGACACTTCTTTGTCCCTCACTGTTTTTCTCTCTCTTCCTCCACTTTGCAAACAGCGCCATCATAATCACGTCCTGTTCACAGCGTATACGTGATGTGCGACAGTTATAAATGTCCCTGTGAAACACTGTGCTGTATAGTTAAATGGATTAAACGAAGCATCAATGCAAAGAATTTGTGTAGAAGCATTTTATTAATCGATTTAATCGATGAATCATTTCAGCCCTTGTGGACTTTTAATGTCTGGTTGTAGTCTACAGGGCATTTCAAGAGGAAAAAATATTTAAGAATTTAGGTCGTGATTGCGATTAAATAGATTGTTAGATAATTTTTTTGCCCAGATCTCCCAACCTTAAATTAATTTATAGAAAGTGTTGATTGTTTGGACTTTAAAACAGTGGCAGACTGATGGCTCACTCTGATTGACAGCCAGTTTATTTCCTGCTCTGACATCTCTTGTTTCTCACTGTGTTGTCTGCAGATTTCCACAGATGCAATAAAGCTCTGTCTGCCAAAGACCAGGACACAGCTCCCTGTGATTGGTACCAGAGGGTCTACAAGAGCCTCTGCCCCATGAGCTGGGTAAGTTACACAAATACATGATTTGACACCTGTTAATTTAAATAATAATAACTATGATTGATTATTTTCATATTCAAAATTACTGTTTCATCATTTAACAATTGCTGTGATCAACTACACAAATGTCGTCTCTCCAGCTCAAGATCATTTGTCTAAGTTGTCTTAATTGCATTATGTCAGATATTAAGTTCACATTTTTACTTTAAGCCTGATATCTTGGTCCTATTTATGTTTATCTCTATTTTCTCGTTCTCTCTCCTGCAGGTTCAGAAATGGGACGAGCAGGTGGAGGCAGGAAATTTCCCCGGAAAGATCTGAACGCACACATTCCTCTCCAGCCCCTCTGTACCGGTCTTCATCTTACTAACTTAATGTAACGCATCTACTCTGTCTGTACAGAAGTAAATAATAAATTGTATACTGTCACTGTGAACCCTGTTGTTTTGATTTATACTTTATTGATTCTCACTCAGACTAGTGTGGACAACTGCCCTGGATATCAGCCTTGGACATGATTAGAGCTCTCACTATGTGCACTAAATCTGTTAAAAGCATGAGATAGAGCTTCAGGTGCCACTTAACAGTGTACCACTTAACAGGGCCCAGAGTCTCCACAGTATTGTTAAATGGCCAGATATTAAATATTAATGGGTCGCTTTTAATTAGCAAATACTTTCATTCACATTGGCAGGCTGACAAGCGGCAAAAAACAACCTGGTTTATAGGATAGAATTTAATAAAAATATGAAGCTATAAGATGGACACATGAAGAGAAACAACTAACTTATTTTCTTTGTTTTTTGCTTTATCCCTTGGTTCTGAAATGTGGAAATGACAATGTGTCGGAGGTGAGGAATGGGTTTTGCATTTTGCTATTTACCATTAAACTTTAATAAAAAGCCTATAATCCCAATTAGACACCTGTCCCTTTTACTGGCCCGGTGTGGCTACATGTTGTGACAAACAAAGGCAGGTCTCAATTAGATGCCTGGACGTTCTTTGGATGTATGAAACCTCTTTAAGCCCGTCGGGTCACCCGCTTGAGCTAGATATAAACTGCTTAGATCATGCATATACCAATGTTGAAATGTTAAAACCTCTGTCAACATGGAAATGCTACACATCCTTAGCAGTTAGATTATCCACAATTCAATAGTTTTTGTTAATTTTACAGAAATAATGAGCGTCATTCAGATTTACTGGCATGGCTAAGGAATTAAAGGCATGTCCCAAATATAGGCAGTGTGAGTTTAGTGATTTAAGCAAATAAAAGCCTGGGTTATTAATGGAAGTTTTACAGTATAAAGTGAAAATATGGAGAATGGAGAAGTGTATTTTATTTGTGTAGCCTAAAATTACAAAGCTGCATCAGAGGGTTTCATAATACAAACGACATAATTAAATAAAACAAATAACGTAATTAACAAACCTCCTCCCAAGTCCATTTTAGTAGCTGTTCTTCATTAGATGATGGGGTTACCTAAGATTATCCATTTATTCTCGATCAACAGTGTGGAGAAAACAATTTCACCGTGAGGTCCATTCAGCAGCTCTTCTGGAGCTTATAATCACAGTTCAATCTCTGTTGCTGAGAAACAGTTTGATATAAACATCTCTGGTCAAGTACATAGGATGAAATTGAGTTTTTCTAAACTCATTCTGGCAGAACTGAATTATGCTGAATTGGTTGCATAACGATTTTACACAAACTGTTGATGAAACAAGATGTCAGCAGACTTTTGTTTTTGTCTCTGAGTCACAAGCAAATCATAAGTTAGGGGAAACTGCAGTGTGTGTGTTATCTGTTATTATCTGCTGTTCACAAACTATCGGTGTCTGCAAATACCGAAAATGGTTTGAAAAGGGATTTTTCTACAACTGGAGCATCATCTGAGCCGCACCGCATGACCCGTTGCCTCAGTAACGGACCGCGTTGCGTCAGCACCCGCAACATCAGCATCAGTCACACAGTGGGTACTGTCAAGGTCGCCAGCGAGAGGCATCATGGGAAGGCGAGGAGGACACCAAAATGACAGGGAGGGGAGGGGCTGGGGGACGGTCATGCATTCCCCCACGACCCTCAGGAACCTTCGCGCATGCGCCCACGCTGAGCTGACCAACTAACCGAATAAAGGCTGTAACCATAATAGGACATGGACGCCGACAAGTCTCACGGGATGCGGTGATGATGCACAAGAGTCACGGATTTCTGCACGTAACAGCGGAGGGGCGTGGCAACGTCACGGCTTCCCAGCAACCCAGTTTTCTAATTGGTTGATGGAGAAGACGAAAAGAAATAATAAAAACAACTACGTGCGGTTCTCCTCGCAGCTCACGTAGGAGCCGAAATACAAGAGAAAAGGAGGGTGGTACTGCTACGAAAACCGACTGCTGCAGCGCACACAGTTTTTTTTGTCCGGCCCGGTAGTCACGACAGGTGAGTGTCAGTTTATTATCCAGTTTGTGTTTCTTTTACACGGATTTGGGTTTTTTTGTTTTTTGGACAAGCCGGGGTGTGACGAAAGCGCATGCTTGCGCCACTTTGACCGACAGAAATAGGAAGACGTTAACCTCCAAAAAGTCCTCTCCATTTATTTCCTGTCCTTTAGGCAATAGCTTCAATCGTAGTGTAAAATGCATGATGTCGATTATTAGTGGTTTTAGTGGTTGCCTATTAGTTTCCTGATGGGAGGAGAGGAGAAGCGATCGTGTCCTCTCTGGCAGAGCCACACCGGCTGGTACCCTGGACAGCGCCTAATGAGGTTTCTTCCTTTTTCTTTTTTTTGCAGCTTTCAGCACCGGCGGGCGGGTCCTGCAAAGCCTTTAAATACCACCTGAAGATCTCCTCTCTGCATCCTTCAGTTGGAGTAAAATTATCCCGGTGATCGTCCAGCTATATTTCAGAAGATGGAAGGGCAGGCAAGTGATTTTCTTTCTTTATAGTTCCTGTTGTGACCCACATTCAGGAGGTGATTATTCGGTTCCAGTTCTTTTTTTTATGTATTAAAAACAGCTGAGTGATTGTTATAAACTTCAGTCTGTCTCAAGAGGTCCCTGGAGTTGTGATTTCTGAATAATGCACGTGTTTCTATATAAAGTCAGAGCAGAGCTGTGTGGGCGGTGTGAGCCTGTAGGCCTGTGTGTGCCATAATATCTCCGTGACTCACCCATGAGCACCGCATATGTGTGTTAAATGTTTGAGAGAGAAACATCTCCTGCTGTAGGATGCATGCTTGATTTTAGATATTGTGGGTGTGGGTCTGTGTTCAGTAGTGCGAGGAACAGAAAGGTATATGATTATGTAGCCTAGCCTTTGATTAGGCCTAAGTCATGTTTCTCCTGTATATTTACAGGACCAAACCTCCTCAAAACATGATAGATTTAATCATATCAGCAGCTAAAGTGGAGTTTAATAGCAGATTTCCTCAATGCAAACAAATAGATAAATGCATCATTGTAAAGGCTTAGACTCCTCTTTCTACAATAGCAGTGTCTGAAAATAGACCAGAAATGCAATGCAGCCATAACTGAAAAACTACTGAAAAAGCACACTTGTCTCTCTGACTGTGCCCCCACTCTCTGCAATAGATCTAATCTATTTAGTTTTTGATGCTTTTGTTATGACTGGCTATGTTCTTTGTATACATGTCTTTCTTTGTCTTGTTTTGTTAGTTGTAGCCTATGTCTTTGTCCTTTTCTTATATCTGGCGTTGTTTGTGTTGTGCTCAGGTCTCTCTTGCAGATCTCAATGTAAATTAAATTATCTGATTAAAGATAATACATGAAGTAGATGGGGCAGTAGATGGAGATGGACCAAAGTGGTTAAAACAGAGAAAGGTGTATTTTTATACTGACTGATGATAATAAAAAGTGTAACAAACAGTGTAACACCAGGAACAAACTTTCTGATATTTCTATTTACGTTGCTTATAAAACATAGAAACAATCCACATGGAAGTCTGTAGATCAACCACAGTGAGGACGATTTTGCTAAAAGATTAGAGGTGTGTGTAAAATCTTTGGTCGTGCAAAGAAAAGCATTCTGTTATAAGTTTAGCGCAAATGTTGGCATCATTGTTTGACTTAAAATTAAAGTTATGATGATGAACTTTAACTGTTAAATCTATAAAACAATCAAGAGCTCAGTAGTTCATAGAAGCAAAGATTAATGCTTATGCGACAACAGGCCAAATTCAGCGGGAAACAAAATCACAAACATGACCTTAGACTCATCTGACTAATGTTTAGTAGTATGTTTAGTTGCACAAATGTTTGTCATTTTGTAGATATGTGTATACACATTCCTGTGTCCCTGAAGGGTGTCCTGTCGTGATCTGACTTTGTGTCCTGCTTGAATCGCTCATGCTAAATATTGATCAGTTCATCAATACTTGAAACCTGAGCGCTGTGAGACCCTCACACAGAAATCATCACCCAAAACAGCTCAATACATTCAACCCATCCCCCTGGTTTCTCCTGAAACTTTAATTGATTGGCTCTTACAAAAGAAATGGCTTTGGTCAGATGTCAGATAAAGTCAATGTGTGTGTGTGTGTGTGTGTGTGTGTGTGTGTGCGTGCGAGTGTGTGATTGCATACATCTGTCCACACCCACCTGCACCATTTGCTGCACACTAGCAGGGAGTGTTTGTTTAGTTTATAAGACCCTGCCGCATGTATGCGTGTGTGCCTTGCTGTGATTACTTTCAACCGGTGTCAATAAAAATGTCACCTCCAGGCTGTTGCCATGGAGATAAAGGAAGGAGGGATGGGGCGAGGGAGCTGTATTGGCGATCTTGGTTGGATGGAGGGAAAGAGAGATGGGGCAAGAAGAAAGATGACAAGGATTTTATATCAGTGCGGAGTGTGAGAAGGACAATTAGCTTAAATTGGCTTAAAGGCCGCATGCAAGGTAGCAGGTTGGATTTGTGTGATAGTATGTTATCATGGTAGCAGTTACCATAGTAACACAGGAAATCTGGGTGCTGCAACAGGCTGCTAACACAGAAGTTTGTCAGGAGCTTAATGCTGTGCCTTTATGTAACATTCTCAGCTGATACTGCTTGATTTTGTGTCGTATATCTGTTCCTTGTATCCTCCTCTCAGTTTATTTTCGATTTCCAATGGACGTTAAGAACGGGCGCTGCCCAAAATGCTTCTGGACGCAATCGGATAAACCTAAAACCAATCAGAGGAACAAAAGAATTTGATGTAGCGAGAAGAAAAGCTTTACTTTCAGTTATTTGTTCTTCTTTTAGAGAAAATATACCGTCCAGTTTGTTTAATACTGACTTGATAGCTGATTCACAGTTTAAACATAAATGTTAGTGCCACTAAAAAGCAGCTGTATTAATATCTGATATACACACTCCTGTTATTGATCCTTAATGTGAGACGTTTTAGGTGCTGTCATGTGACCAATACTTTCTACTGAGTCACTGTGACTTGACAAAAAAACAGAGATGGACAGAGTCGAGGAGGGAGACAGAGAGAAAAGTGGAAGGTGAATGTCTGGGCAAATATAGCAGGATGTTTGTGTATATGTGTGTGTCTGTGTGTGTGTGTGTGTGTGTCATGGGCTTGATAGATAGCTGGTTAGCTGAGAGTGTTGTGATACAGCACAATGAGCTGCATTTGGGTCTCGTGAGCTCAGGGCTCTTTTTTCTTCCTGTCTCATTTAATTAACTTTTAACGTCAGTGATGTTGATGACTTCAGACAGATGACGCAGCAGTTCGATGTTAGTTTGAAAAGTTTCAGTCTAAAAACTCTCAGTTCATTGCATTTTCAAAAACCTCATAATTTAGTACTGAACCATTCTTTTTCACCACAATTCCAATAAGTTAAACGTAAAAGCAAATGAGTTGATTTCAAAGGCCAACTTATTCTTTCATATTGACTTTTATGAATTCATCCAAGCAGTTAAAGGTGCAATCCACTGATGTTACACATGGAGGTCAGTTTACTCATCAGGAGTGTTACTCTGTCTTCTGTAGATCTGGTGGAAAGTCTTAAGGAAATAAACTAAATAATGAGGCCATCAGGGTTATCTTAGCTTGGGTTTAGAGAGTATAAATTTATAACAGTGAATCTGTGTTACAAACTGGTTTTTGAAAGACAAAGGCATTTACCAGCCAGGGGAAGTCTAACGAAAAATGCAATTGATGATGAAAGAGTTGCGTTATGGAATTTATATAATCTTGTATTTTTGTGCCCATTCTGCGTATTAAAAATGAGGATAAATCTGCCTCTGCTGCATCTGTTTGTTTTTAATTTAACAGAATCGCTGAAATACCACTTTAAAAGTGAAACTAAGCAATCTGATTTTCAGATGTCCTTATTCTGGCAGAAAATACAGAAATATATATGTAGTCTTTGAGTAAGACCATATTTCTGCATTTTCTTTAATACACAATTTCATGAATTGTACATAAACTTTAAGTTATATAAATTTAATAATATATCACTGATTATCATGATTTCTTCCTGAATTATGGCTGTGGTGTCATTATATACTTGACAAGATATTTTTTTGATTTTTATATTTGAGTGAAGGTGTAGTACATCAGTGCTGAATCAGTATAATATATACTCTGTAAGACTAACTATACATTCCCTCTATAAGAAGTATAGAAGCAATGTTACTTTTATTCAAAACTCCATCCATCCATCGTCAACAGCTTACATCGAGCGAAAGGCGGGGTACACCCTGGACAGGTCCATCGCAGGGCTATTCAAAAATGTATTATTATTATTTTAATCTCACTGAGAGTGATTATAAAATATTATAAAACCGCACCTGTCATTATGTGGTGATTATATGGTAAAACACCTGCAGCTCATCATTCACTATCTATGACCTTTAGAGGATCCAGCAGATACAAGTGTCATCATTTGGCCACCACACACCAATTTATTGTCTTTTTTTAAAAATGTCATTGTAGTTTGTCTTAACTGAATGTTATCAATTAACTTATGAGAGAAAATATAAAACGTTTCTATCTGGTATCCATTTTAGATACTGGGATGCACATCAACAGCAGACCATCCATTTGCAGACCAAAGAGACCAAAATCAGTTTGTGTGGTCTCACCGGATTATTGATTGCTCAAATGTCACCTAAATCCTCAGGGAATACATTCAAATGAACAGCGGAAAGGCTGTTTGGCCAAAGAGCAGATTTAATTAACTTTGAGAGCTGGAAAGGATTAAAAACATCAGATTTCACAGAGTAAGATGACGATTCAGCCAATGAATGTAAAGAAGACGAATAAAGTAGGTGGATATTATAGGGTACAGACAGGTGCCGGACTGGGTGGATGTCTGCTTGATGAAAACCTTGGAGGTTGAAAAGGTGCCTCATGAAATATTTATGGTCATGCAATATTCAGTGTGGAGACTTCCCTTCACAAGAAATTATTTTTTTAAAGTGTCAATGTAGAAACCACAAGTCAGTTTGAATACCTGAATTTCTGGTGAGTTGCAACAATTAATTAACTATTGCAACATGTTTTAAATGTACATACATCCCAAACGGCCACTTAAATATTGGTTGGGATTAGTGCAGTGGATATGATCACAATAATTGTGCCATAGATACTATAACACATATTGTTGTTTGTTATTATCATATAAACCTACAAAAAGCACAAATTACTTCAAAAACAGCAAAGACATATAAAACCAAGGTTTGTAAAGAAGAAAACAAGAACGGATACATAGATAAGAATAGTGCAGTTTAAAGGAAAAGCAACTCCCCCGAAAGCTCCCGTCTTACTGTGTGTGAACTGATTTGTTCTAATTTAATTGAAATATTCTGTGAGCATCTTCTGTCCTAATCCTGAGGCCTCATCTTGGAGAGGGTCAAAGATCTAGTTACAGTAAAGTATATACTGTTGCTATAGTGTAGTTTATGTTTTTTGCTTATGTGTTGCATCTTCCTAAATTAATTTGCATTAACTCAAACTGCCCAATTGCAAACCTGGGACAGCAGGCATTTTTTCATTTTGGACAGAGGTTGGGAGAAATGACCAGTTAGTGGGTGGGCCCATTATTGCCCTTAGGCCCAGTTAATCCGACCATGATGACCACAAGCATTGACCTTCTCACTCTCAGTGGATTCCCTGTCAAACATGATGGTCTTTTACAGGAATAAATTAACTTGGCAGAGGAAAAAAAAAATTGGCTGGTCCTCCAACTCATTAGTTATTCTCAGGACACATCCTTGTGTATTATCATTTCCTTAAAAGACGAAAGATGATTCATCTCATGGCTCATTGGTTCAGGTCAAGGCTTGAACAGGAATGTTTGTAGAGAAAATTAATGGCAAATGTTCACGACATTGGTCAAAACAATTTGCTTCTATTTCACCTCTATCTTCTTGCTCACATTGTTTTATTTCCTTACTTCTGGCATCCGATTAATATTTCTGCGCACAGTGACCACAACATCTGACCTGCAAACTGTAAATATGATGGACAATCAGTCAGATGTTGTGGTCAGAATTCTTACTGATGATCTGAGACCATCAGCTTCACATATATAATGCAAAATGTAAAATACATCATCCTGAGCTTCTCAGCAGTTTCAAATCTTCATTTCATTTCCCATTCATGTTTCTCTCTCGTCGTCTCATTGGTCCTGTGCAGCCAACGTCCCTTTGGCTAAAACGAATCCCGAGAAGTGCAGTCTAGGCTAATATTATCTGACCTCGCTCTGATATTGATGTACCAAGGGCAGTGGATCACCTGAGGCCTGCAGGTCTCTATACTGTCTCAAATAACAGCAGCGCATTCTGCCGCATCAGCAGTGAGTCTCCTTATCACCGACAGCTGTGTTACAGACATCAGCAGAAACGCACCAGAAACAGTGGCCTAAATTCTACCGCTGTGACCCAGCTTGACCTGCCAGATATTTCAATCAAGTGTTTAATACACTTTGACCTTCACTGACCTCGTATTGCTTTCCAGTAAATAAACTGTAGAACAAAAGTGTAGTTTGACACCCAGAAATCTCCTAGTCAAGTAACCATGCTGTCTTCTGATAGACTTGCCACTCATCCCTCCCATTGCATGCTGGGATGGACTGCAGCTCACATGACCCTGAACAGGATGAGCAGTTTAGAAGGACCATCTTATATATAAAAGTCCCTCCTGTCGCTTCACTTTGGAGAAACTGACTTTCTGATACCAGGATCAATCTGCCTTATATACGATACAAAATCAAGCAGTGCCTAGACGCAAACACACACACACACACATAAAAACATTTTGGAAATGTACTACATATTTATAAAGTTGAATTGGATAATGAATGTAGGGCAGGGGAGTCATGAAAAAGAAAGAAAAGTTTACCTGGATAAAAAGTTAGGTTTAAAGTTACCGATATATATATATAAAAGAGAATCCAAATTAATATATATAATGAATGAGTAAATTTATAAATAATTCTACCATATATTGATCCGATGTAGGATCTATATATGTATATATATTTATGTATATATTAAGTATATTTATATTTATTTATAACTTTAAACCTCACTTTTTACCCAAGTAAACTTTTCTTTCTTTTCATGACTCCCCTGCCCTACATTCATTATCCAATTCATCGTGGGGGGTCTATAACCCTTTACACATATGTAGTACATTTCCAAAATGTTGTTATTCATGTTGGTAAGGATCTTCAAGTTTTAAAGTGGTTTTTCGTTTTAAACTTGAATCTCTATTTACAAAAAATAATATTATGTAAACAACCAATTTAGCGGCAGTCGTAGTGATTTCAGTATAAATATGTTGAGTAATCTTGTGTGGCTGCATGTTGGGTGTATGTATGTGTGTCTGAGCATGAGTTCACTGTCTGAAACCTGATATAATTGTTTACGCATATGTGCGTCACTGACCCTGTCTTCCATTAGCATTTCAGTTTTATTGCCTCTGTATGCCGGCTGTAATTATTGAAAATCTCATTATGAGCTCAGATTTCATATTTATTATGTATCTCTCTCTTTGTCTGTGTCCTCCCGTGCTCCTTTAATTTCCACATTCGTCTCCATCTCCTGTTTGATTTCTCCTTTCTTCTTCTTGTCCTTTTCTTCCCCCTGACATTTTCTCCTACTGTTCTTCCCCTTCTTATCCCACTGCAGGAAAAGCAAGTAACAGGTTATCTCCTCTTCTCCTTGGCCACCGCTGTCATCGGCTCTCTGCAGTTTGGTTACAACACAGGAGTCATCAATGCTCCAGAGCAGGTTGGTGATTAGTTGGCTAAAGCTGAAGCTGAAGCTGCTCACAGTTTCCACCTTAGCTTCTCCAGATGTCAATAACAGGTATTTGTAATGGTAAACATCTACAAAGCCTGTGTTGTGAATCCACAGAGATCTTTAACCCAGCTGGCGTATCATGCTTGTCAACAAAACAAACCAAAGCAATAAGAGAGAATTTGTTGCGAGTCCTCGGTTACTGTAGTTTGAATGTTGCTCTTATCTCTTACTCCTTAAAGGCCCGATTGTGGAGAAGCAGCTATACTTTACACCAAAATTTGATTTGGCCTGTCTGCAGTGTCTCAATTAGTTCAAATAGGAGAGTCACCTCTACTTCAGGATATGAGTGGATTAAAACATGAAAATCTTAATGCAGTGCCGCCTTAAATTTGATTATTTTAGTACAAATACTGTGAATATTTCATACATATCAAGTTAAGACTGGCTGTTGCATTTTGTAAAATTCATTGTCATGTCCATTAAGTATTAGTTCAGCTTAGCAAAAACAGTGGACTGGAAGCAGGGAAAACAGCTAGCCTATCTGAAATATGGAGACTGAATAAAGAATTACATCCTCTATTTTTTGTGTGTGTTTTTGTCAGATTAAACAAACAAGAAACACTTTGTTAACTAGTTAGCTACAGAGAGCTAGGACCCATTTTTAAGTTCTGGACACAGCCAGTCTAGCTGTTTCCCCTGCTTTCAGTCGTTATACTAACCTAAGCTGATCACCTTCCGGCTCTAGCTCTGTGAGTGGTATTAATCTTACCAAACCCTCAGAGAGAAAGAGATTAAGTATATCCAGTGGCCCAAAACAATGAACTATTCCTTTAACTGACCTATACTAAAAATATTTCAAGATTAACAACAGGCAAGACAGCAGCATCAGCCCATTTCTACTCTGAAGTTTGTTGAATTGGTAATGGTTCCAGCTACTTCTGGCTTTTTCTTCTTTTCCCTTCATCTATTAATTCACCTGTCCCTGCCATCAGAAACTACGATCTTTCTTCAATGATACCTGGGTTGAGCGTTATGGCGAACCCATCAGCCCGGGGGTCTGTACCATCGTCTGGAGTGTCGCCGTCGCCATCTTTAGCGTGGGCGGCATGGTGGGCTCCTTCAGCGTGGGCGTAATGGCTAACAGATTTGGCAGGTAGGAATTACATTTGTGGGATATAACAAGCCGAGATTTAAACTTTTGTTTCTCTTATCATCTTTAATGAGAAACTAAACCTGCTCTTGTCAGTCATGTTGTCTGTATAATGCACAGGTATGTCTATCTGGGTGTTTCTTTGGACATTTCAAATGTCAATATCAAATGTCTTTGCTTTGAGTGTTATGCTTTTCCTTTAATGGCTCTGTGTGTTCCTGTGTGGTGTAGCTGAACTGTCACAAGACATTACACTTAATGGAGTTCACGAAGCGTGTCTGTCTTGAGCCGACTGCTCAGCTCTACTGTTCCTCCATTTGCCTTTGTGATATAACCTGCGCATCAGACCACGTTTCTTTTTTTCTTTCTGGGGTCAGACTGACCACTTTTCACACTTAAAATGCTACTAAATTGTCAAATTTTTCAGATTTAAAGAAATATTTCAAAAGAATACTTTAATTCCTATTAATCCTTTTTTAAAAACAAGCACGATATAGTAATAATAAGTCAGCTTAAGATGTGTTGATAGTCATATTTTTTTAATTTTGAGAGTTGGGGGAGCTGTTTCCCCCTGCTTCCAGCCTTTATGCTAAACAAAACGCCTCGTGCCATCTCCATACTTAACCCACAGACTTAAGATTGGTATTGGTCTTCTCAAATAATTCTCACAAAGATAGCAAATAAGCACACATTGAAGTATTTATTCAAACATATTTAGCTAATAAAATCCAAGATTCCAAGAATCCATATTGATTATTGATGGTATCCTTATTATGATACACAAGGACATGCACTCACGTGTAAACTCCATTATGTTTGCACTGGAAAACTGGAAAAACATCCTTCTGTCAATGAACTAATTAGACAGGAAAGCGCCTGACCTTCACATACACTCAGGCAGGTCAATCAGTCCAGATAGTTCTGGTCACTAATTTCTCAGTTAATCAATAAGCTTGTCCATTTTTCTTCAACCACAAACCACTCAGCTTTTCTCTCCACACTGAAATGCTTTCCTCTTTTCTTAGTAAAAGAAAAAACAATGAAACAAAAGTTTTATCTAATTGTAATTGTATTTCTCTATAGAGAAAAATAATACAACTATTTGTAGAGAAAGAACAATGTGGCAGATATTTACATCTGCATTACTCCGGTGCGTGTTGCGCAGACGTATTGCAACAGAAGAGAATATTGTGTACATAAATAGATAAATTGACAAAATATAAAAATATAGATTTACAATTAATAAATATGAGCAGTATGCCAGGTTTGTGCGTGATATGAAATTAAATATTTACAATTATTCATTATTCAAACTGCCGTGTTGTATGTCTAGAAATACTGTACAATCAGTTGTTCACATATCTCTCTATCCTCACCCTCCCCCTCCTCCTCAGGCGTCGCTCTATGTTCCTTGTAAACATTCTGGCTGTGATTGGCGGCCTCCTCATGGGCTTCTCCACCATCTGCTCCTCCTATGAGATGGTGATCGCCGGTCGCCTGGTCATTGGCCTGTTCTGCGGTCTCTTTACCGGCCTGACTCCCATGTATGTGGGCGAGGTGTCACCCACTCCCCTCCGAGGAGCCTTCGGCACTCTTCATCAGCTCGGTGTGGTGGTGGGCATCTTGATCGCTCAGGTCAGCAGAACGCTTCCTAACAAACCTCAGATTTATTTCAAGATCTTGATGTATGATATAGTTACAGTTCCTTGGTGGTTTACTGTAAATCTAACCCAGCTGTTGTGGTCCTTGATGTTCAGATCTTTGGTCTGGAGGGTCTGCTGGGCTCAGCAAAGCTGTGGCCCCTGCTGCTGGCCCTCACTGTGGTTCCTGCTGTGCTGCAGTGCATACTGCTGCCCTTCTGTCCCGAGAGCCCTCGCTTCCTGCTCATCAACCTTAAACAAGAGGAGCAGGCACGCAAAGGTATGCACAAATACTGCTACAATACTACTGCTTCTACTCACACAATTACTATTGTTACTATTACTGTTACTATTGTTATTACTGTTATACCTCTGCCATTCCTGCTGCTATTCCTGCTGTAACTACTGACAGTACTTCTGGTTTTGCATTTTCTATTGTTATCCTTTCTGACAGTACTACATTACTACTGTACAACTGCTACTAACACAGTTACTCCAATTACAGACACCACTACTGCAGTCATTACTGACACTGCTGCTACTATCACCACTACTACCTGTGCTACTACTGTTTCTATTACTACTGCAACTACTGTTGTCACTGTCATTCATACTGTCAATCCAGCTACTGGTACTACAACTACACATATGACTACACTCACAACTAGCACCAAGACTACAACTACTGCTAACGTTACTGCTTTTTCACCTGCCGCTTTACTATGGCGACTACTGTCATGACCATAATACAGCTACAGGCATTGCTTATGCTGACGACTCACCACTAATACCAATTTTACTATTGCACTACTGCTGTTGCTGCTGCTATAACTACTTCAACTACTGACACTCTACAAGTAATTACTTTTACTGCTTCTATTGCTTCTACTATCAGTACTACCACTGCTTATAAGGTGTTACTTCTATTGTCACCACTTGTTATATCAATTCAACTACTGTTACTACAATACTACAACCTCTGCTACTACTTCTGCTAGTATAGTGCAAATACTAACACCGCTACTTATGTTAGTACTGCAAATAAAATGCTGATACTTCTGCTGCTTGAATTGCTACATTACTGGTGCTACTTCAGTTATATAAGTTGCTATAGCTACGAGAAATAGAGAAATACTGAGGAGTACTAGCAGTGAGCAGTTGAGAAGAAAAACGTGAGAGCAAAAAACAAGTACAAAGAAAACTTAGGAGAGAAAGAGATGTGCTGAGAGAAAAAGAGCCTATAAAAGTGAGGCAAAACGAGTGTAATATCGAGGAGAAAGAAAGGAAATGAGACAGAGAGACATCAGTAGTTAGAGATACACAGGGAGGAGATCGGGACGATGTTGTAGCCTGGAGAGAAGAGTGCTTGAACAGGCAGATGGTTTTGGCATCTGTTCAACACGTAGCTTGTCAGGGTTGACTCTGGGGCACTGACCCACTTCTCCTTCACACCTCTCGCCTGACACAAAGAAAAACAAACACAAGGCTTAGTCTCCACAGTTAGAGCTGCATCATAGTTTCTGTGACTGTGTGGTGTTTGTGGTGTCTGGTGTAGCAGCGTGCACTACTTCCTACCACATTGTCTTCCCTGATACTACCACTGGAGAGTGCGATAGCTTTTCAAATTCTACTCAATGAAGAGCTGTCAAGAAATGATGGGAGGTAGAGAGGGAAGAGGACATGCAACAACGGTTCCCACCTGAACTCCAACCAGCAATATTGCAATGACACAGTCAGTCACAGTCAGTTTTAAATCACTAGGCCGCAAGTACTATAGTAGTACCATTAAATATTCAAAACACAATATTTGACCCAGCTATCCTTTCAAAATGATTAATAGGTAATTTATTACACTGATAAGCTAAAGTGAAATGTTTACATGAGAACAGTTTGTACATTTTTATTTTATTTTGTTCAGATAAGAGAAAAACAAAACGCAGATGACAAAAATTTTTCAGCTCAAGGACTACTTACTCTCTTGTTGCCGCTTTGAAACCAAAATGGCCGTAGAGGTACCACAAAATAAACATAACATGGGGTCCACCTTCTACCAGTTTTGTGTCCAGAGCTTTCAATCTAATCTCGTGGTCTTCATCAATGTCACATAAATGGCTTTCAGGGTTACAGTGAAAAAAGGGAGTCAGTTGACTATTTTATCAAGCTATTTTCAAGATCAAGAATTACAATCCAACCCCAGTTTTTTTTATATATGACCAAACTGTAAAAGATGTAACCTTATTTGTGGTCTCCCACTGTTTTCTGTTTACACCAATGTGTTGACTCAGCATCACCAACCTTTTTGAACTGCCGAGTATTTTTGTGTCCTCTGCCTTTGTGTTTGCACGCAAAAGCAACAACACTCCACCTCCATCAAAGACACATTGTGTTTCTGTTCTGTTGACAGCACTGGTGCGTCTGCGTGGCAGTGAGGATGTGAGTAAAGACCTGCAGGAGATGAAGGAGGAGAGCGCTAAGATGGCCATGGAGAAGAAGGTGACAATCCCTGAGCTATTCCGCTCGGCAGCGTATCGTCAGCCCCTCCTCATTGCCGTCATGCTGCAACTCTCCCAGCAGCTTTCAGGAATCAATGCTGTGAGTCAGCAACAGGCAGCGTGTCCACACACTCACACACAGACAGCTACATACGATTACATGCTTTTACTCCCGTATATTGATTTGCTTTTCACTTGAATCCCTATTAGTTGTTACCCTGGCGGCATCTAATCATTACGTGGTCTAGAATTAAAAAAATACAACAATACATCATTATAACACAAACTAAATCCAAACCAAATATATTATAAACATATTAAATCTAAAAATTGAACTACCGAAACCTAATCTTGTTACATTTGAATGTTCATATTGCCGATCTTCCGATTAACAAGCAACCCGGCTCTATACATAACTATAACACAGCTAAGTCAGTGAGTAGAGAGAGACTGGGGTTCTAAAATAACTCAAACTAAAGACAAGCTCTATTCAGTGAGAGTAAAAAAGGTCACTTTGGTCACTGACGAAGCAAATGTCAGCTACATCCTCCCATTTTAGTAGATTCTAGGTGAGCATGATTAAATGATTGGACATGCTATGGAGTGTCAGGTAAAAAAAGGTATATGAAAGTTGCAGGTGGTCCAGAAAGAAATTAACTTACATATTTACTTATACAAAATGTAAATTATAACCCCCCCCCCCTTTCTTTTCCATCCTGTCTGTATTTAGGTGTTCTACTACTCGACTGGGATCTTTGAGTCAGCCGGTGTAAAAAAGCCCATTTACGCCACCATCGGCGCCGGCATTGTCAACACCATCTTCACAATCGTTTCTGTGAGTGACATCACTGTGTTTGTCTTTGGTCCTTCATGTGTTTGTGGGCATTTAGCAGCACATAACTCCCTCCCGTGTCTACCATCCAGCTCTTCCTGGTGGAGAGGGCAGGACGAAGGACTCTGCACCTCTTGGGATTGGGCGGAATGGCGTTCAGCGCTCTGATCATGACCATCTCCCTCCTGCTGGTGAGTTCAGCACTATCACAAGATTGAAGAGGGATTGACTAAAGAACAGTTGAGTAAAGTTGAGCAAGTTATTCTGTCCCCACACTCAATATCCAAAGCATGTTTAATTTAACAAGGCATCTAAACCAAACTAAATGCATAAAATACATGTATATAAAATACTATTTATTCTGCAATGTGGGTGTTATCGGTTAATTTGCTTATAAAGAACACGATCAGATTTCATTTCTTGTCATTATTAAAGGTTATAAATATACTTAAATGTCAGTGAGTGTTGTGTATTCACAAACAGATGCTCTAACAAACCATAAGATAAACATTCAATAAAAAAAATCTGTCAATCAGTGTGATATAGTAAATGTCATTGTCTGATTTTTTCATCTCCCTTTTCTCCGTCAATCTGAGCAGAAGGACATTCCAGCTATGAGCTACATAGCCATCTTTGCTATCATGCTATTTGTGGCTATGTTTGAGATGGGCCCCGGTCCAATCCCATGGTTCATTGTGGCCGAGCTGTTCTCCCAGGGGCCCCGCCCGGCAGCCATGGCTGTGGCTGGCTGCTGCAATTGGACGGCCAACTTCCTGGTTGGAATGAGCTTTCCCAAACTAGTGGTAAGTGACGGGTTTGACATGGTTTAGGGTTTAGTTCGGTGTTCTCTTATTTTCTTTATATTATTTGTCTTTTGCTTTAACTTTTTTTGTTCTGCTCTTTTGTTGGTTTGATTTTGCCTTTTTTAATCTTACATCTTATGAAATCTTTCCATTAGATCACATTTTTTCTTCCCTTTTTCTTGTATTATAGTAATTCTTACAGATCATATTCAGTTAACATGAGAAGTTTAAACATGTAAAATTTATTGTTTCTATATAATTCTGACTCCTCTCCTCTCATGTCTCCTCAGGAGTGGTGTGGACCTTGGGTCTTCCTCATCTTCACAGCCTTCCTCATCCTCTTTTTCATCTTCACCTACATTAAAGTCCCAGAGACGAAGGGAAAGACCTTTGACGAGATCGCCTGCAGTTTCGGCAACGCCCCGCCTCCCACCTCCTCATCTGTTGAGACCCCTCCTGCCAGCGCCAGCACCGCCGTGACGCTTCCCGCCTCACCAGTCAAGGAGAAGGTCCCACTGGTAGAGGCGGCAGCAGCAGTTCCACCTTCCGCATCTGAAAGCACGCCCCTTGAAGATAAATCTAACTTGACAGTGCAGGACAGTGTGTAGAGCAGCTGTAGATATGTAGGTAGTAATGGGTGAAGGGTAAATTGTAGTTAATTATTACACAACAATGGAACAATAGAAGCTATGTCATTTTATAATACACTTACTGTACAATAGCCTTATCAATTTAAAGGCTTTTACCTTTAAAAAGTCATACTTTCTGCTTTTAAGGTTACTCCTTAGACATTTTATTTTTCTGTGACATTTCTTGCAATTCTTTCTTTTAAAACCTCCCTTAACTGTGAAAGGGAAGCAATTGCTATACAATACTATGGTTTAAATCTACTGTACATTCCTAGGAGATCAGGTCCATGTAGTGTGAAGTAGGTGACGTGGATTGCAAAGATGCATTTTTTGATTTATTCACGTATTCCTTATAGTGGATATTTTTCGTGCAATATAACTTTGTAGCTGTAGTAGTTTCGTCTAGTAATATTAATTTCTCAATTTTTTTGGAAATGTTCTCAAATCACGCTGAGGTCTGAGAAGGGATCCTTTTTGAGCTCTGCCTTCAGCTGTTGAATATGAGCTGAAAAACTGGAGAGCTTTTTTGCAATGCCAAAGTACTGAACTTTAATTACCACTGGGTGAACATGTGACCTCAAATGTGTTTCTTGTGGTAGTTAAATGGGGAAATTAGCAGCAGCCACAGGTCATGCAAAGTTTATTAAATCTGAAAGCCAATTTGGTGGTTAAAGCAATAATCCCAAGTTTATTCAACTTTCATTAGCGCCACCTTTGTCTTGTCCTGCTTGTTCCAAACAGACAAAATTTCCTGTTTACGTGATAATTTTGTTGTTTTATTCAGATTAATTTATTGGCACATATATAGAGGTAATAATATATTAATTAAAACTTGTGGATTATTGCTTTAGTGGGGTGTCTTTTATATTGGAAAATGGTAAAATCTTGACTGTGGCTTATGGTATTTAGGACTTGCTAATGGCTGTGGCCTGTGGACAAAAACATGTTGAATTGGTTACCACATGGAATGTGCAATGTATATTTTTTTTGGTTGAAAGAGAAAATTATTCCCATAGAAATAGATTTTTGTATAACATATAGATAATATAGATATGTAAGTATATAGCTAGATTATAAAATTTAGAATCGTAATGCTTTCCAGACTAGCCAGAGAAATGAAAAGTTAAATGAGTCTGCAGTGAGCTTTTCCTCCTGTCGTGGAGTAAATCTACAATTGACTGAGAGTTAAACACCATAAATCTCATTTGTTGCTCTCTATTTAGATGCACTTTGTTAACCAGATAAGCAGCAAAGTGAGCATTAGCACCACAATCACTGATATAGAAGCCATTAAGCTGAGAAGTGCTTTACATCAAATTAACAGAATGATAATTAAAAACTATTTTTACATGAGTGATTGCGCATGTCTGATCAAGTTGTTATTAGAATAGATAAGAGTTCTAGAAAATGTGCAATCAAAAAAGAAACTTGAACCAATAATATATAGGCGCTGATAATGAATAGAGGCAACTAAAGGGGGAAGTGCTAATATTGTATGAACAACGGGTAAACAACGTTTTAGTGGAAGACAAAGTGTCCTGAATGGTTCCTGTTATTTGATTAGAATAACCAATTTTTTTATCATTTCATATTTTCCCAAAGGGGGAGAAATAACTTCTTTGACTACTCACTTGTGTTGACTTCTATAATGATTTGAGAAAATAATTTGGGAATTAGTTTTAGTCCGGTTAAGCCAGTTTTTCTTTAAAATGGAAATAACATTTTGGAGTGAAAGCTTCACATGTGCTAACACGTTCCATATGTGCTAACATGACATCTTCTTGTGATCCAACATGAAGAACGTTTTAAAGCTAAAAATCCTTTATGACATTTAAAGCCCAAATGCACTGAACGCAACTTTTGAGTCCCAAATAATCAGCTGAACTCTGCTCAAATGATAATTGCACTTTTCAATCTTGCCAAGAGCAGTAGTAGAAACTATATCTTCCAACATGGAAATACCTATTTATACCTACCTATACATACAAAAACATACTCGTTTGTCAAAATCAAAATCAGCCCAGTGTGTTTCTGGCTTTATTTGTCGGGTCCAAACTCTGTCTACATTGTGACACTTTGTCTAAAAGGTTAGCTATGTTGTCAGCCTTTACAGATGTTGTACAGTATGTTTGGTGTACAAGTACATTACACAAAGTATATTTTCTATTTTCTGTAGTGACTGTGTGAATTACTGTCTTTGAAAAAGCTTTGAAAATTACTTTTTCAACTACAGTAATTCATGCTGCACTTTGAGAACATATTTATTTATTTATGTATTATTTATTTCTTGGCTACACTGGAAAGATATTTATCTTAACAAGTGATTTACACTGAAGTGTAACATTTGATTCGAGTGGTATCTGCCTTGTTTTAAAATACTGACTGATAAGCTGATTTGAAAACATGAAAATGTGTCACTCTGCTGACATTTTTTACTTGTCTTACTAAGCCTGGAAGGGTCAGAGTTTGTTAAGATGAACATTTCTTACAGTGAGGGGATAGATTATTGTCGGAGTCATGGCTTTGCTATGTATTGCTGTATTTGTGGATGATAGTGACGTACTGTGTTTGCCCTGGGGGAGGTGTGTGGTAGGCTACACTCCCCGCATGGTAGTATTCAGTGTTGTATTCAACGTCTCCTTTAGGGTCCTGCTTCTGTCCGTGGCTAAACCTACACTACTTCTTCAATATGGCACTAACATTGACCTTGACCAGACCTGAGTCTAATATGAATTCTGAGTACTTTCTATAACTCAGCTTGCCTAGTCCGGTTGGCGCTTTGTGAGATCACAATTTGAAATACCTCTGAGATTTGTGCTTGTCGCTATCCTTTTTGTCATCCTGAGCTTTTCTCTGAGAGGAGAAATTAAGAAACCAATTGAAAATTATGTTTTAATTTGGAGTTTTGAGCCGATTCGTCACTTGTGACAAGCAGGGATTTGTTTTTAGTCTGCCACATCCAAGACCAAGTTAAGATGTTCAGTTAAGGTGCAGTTCTGTGGCTGATGCCAGCGTGCAATCACACCTACAACTTGTTTTCTCTGTTCAAATCCTTGTGGAAAAGCTAATATAATTTTTTTGTGGGTAAAAATGACCATTTACAAGTGAACATTAGAGACAATAGAGATTTAGTCATCCTAAATTGGATATATCTGCAGTTTGGGCAACTCAAGACAACCCCCCCCCATGTACTTTGATGTTTCTCACAAAAAATTAAATGTTCCAAGCTATGTTCAAGCTAACTTGTTTGGTGTGACTGCACTCTAACAGACAGCTGAATTCAGTGTCACAAAAGTATGTGAAAGGATTTGAAACAAATATGTGGACCCAGGTGCACTGCACACTGCTCCGAACCATAGCCTTCTACTTTATGCACATTTATGACTTCGTTCACTGTACAAACATGGAAGAGTAAAAGTATTTATTTGTAAATATGTATTTTTAAAAAGAGTACTATTTATATGTGAACTTGCACGGTCATACCTGTGCTGGGATTATTTGTCTTGTGGGGTGCACATGTTCATTTTGTAGAAGAGAGGAACGGGCTCTAGCTGATTCTTATCTGAAAATATCTTTTCAGGTTGCTCTTGAAAACTGGGGTAGACAATTTATTTCAAAGCATTTTTTGTTGTATTTGTGGAAATTTTGTTTACATCCCGACAGCAATCAATAAATCAAATGCTCTGACGCAAAGATTAAAGAAATAAAACGGTATTTGTGGCTGTTGCAGGACTGTAATTGGCACCTGCCTGTCTACCTGCATGCACTCTGCACATCCACTCATTGCACATGAAAATGTGTTTTGGAGGAGTGGCTTTTGAAGGAGGCCTGATGGGAGTTGTTGGGATTTTTTTAGGTCGGACACTTTCTAATTTTAGCAGTTCTTGCTAGTAATAGTCCCTTGGCACATTTTACTCCTTCTCTGTGTGAACACGAGTCATTCACTGACTAACACTACTGTCTCCTCTCTTTCATTTTCATCTCATGTCTTTCTCAATCGCAGCAATGTACTTTTATCTGTGTGTGCCTAATCAGATTGCACTCAGAGCTGGTGATAGTAGTTGAGTTTCATCAGGTTTTTCTGTACTTCTAAAAGTTCTTGGCTATGCTGACGTTGCCATGGCGTTTGCAAAATAGTCAAACAACTGTATTATAAACCAGCTCTGAAATTGTTCATGTATTATTCATGTAGAGTTGAATCTATCAGGAAGAAAAATATCTCATCAACATGCTTTGGCTGCTGTGATCTTAGTTTTGTCTGTTGTTTGTTGATCTGTGTGTTATAAGTGTGTAAATAAATGTACTGACTGTACTGTGTGTTTGAGTATCCTGTACTGTAAGTCAGCGATTTGTGCCTCTTCACTACTACTTCACGCATTCACAGACTGTTATTTAATGTAGGCCTATGTGTTTGTGAGAAAGTCTTCCTCTGCTACTGTTTGTAGGATGTGTCTGAAATCACTCCCTCTATCACTTAATGATACGCTCTCAACAGGTTGCTCTATCAGGTGCTATGTGGCATAACTGTTATTTACACGCTCAAAAACAACCATTATCTGTATGCTTTGCTGTTTCAGTGCCAGCCAGTGACTTAGAAAGTAATTAATCTAATAATATTTACAGGATGGTGTGATCAACTACAGCCTTGGTGTCTGTAATGTGATGGCTTTTTTAACATTCCTCTGTGCCACAACAGTGATGCACCCCAAATGTTTTTGTTTCACCTGTGTTTATACTGTACCAGATATAATGTTGTTAAGTAAAGTGTTCATCATGTACTAAGACATGGTGTGAATGTGTATTGTAAGTTTTTGTTCTCTCTGAAGGTTTGGTGCATTTTAGTAAAAATGAAACACACCTGATTGCAGCTAGTAATCCTGAAGTTAACATAGGCTACTGTACATTTTGGGCAGTTGAACTAGCAATCAACTACCATTATAATAACATTATGTTAAAACTCTATGTCTTTAAAGGGGCGATTTTACACGTCAGGATCAGTGTACTTCAGAACCAAATAGTTGTAAAATGTATTCTGTGGCTCTGGAAGAAGTTTTTGAAGTCTTAAAATATAATGATGGTAATGTGAACTTGGGCTTGGAGCAGAACAGACCAGACAGCATTACAAACTGGAAGCATGTTTGAAAGACATCAGTTTACTACAGTTTAATAAAAGATAATGGAGTTGCATTATAGGAAGTATAGTATCCATCATATTTTGGATCTTGAGCCGGCAGTCAGAATATCTCAACCTCTGCAGGGCCAGTTTAAATCCATCTCACACAAAAAAAAATATTTTTTTTGCAGTCAAGCTTAATATGATAAAAATCAAAGCCAATACTGTGGACTTCAAAAGCAAAACAAGTTCACCATTGATCTTTAAAAGGTAGCTGGTTTTGTCTAAACTGAATGATCACCCTTAGTTCTGAGCATCCAATATTTCTTATGTCAGACAGTGAAGGCCACGTGTCCATCTTCAAATAACAATATGAAAATACATGTGTCCAATCTAGGGACATATCTTTTAATATGGACAAAGTCTGATGTGTTCCATTTGTCTAAATAAGATGTTCTCAACCAAATGTTTAAATAGCAACACATGTGGAAAACATGTAAACCATCCTCATTAACAAAAATCCATAAAAGACATTGTTTGGCATTGTTTGGCATTTTGGAATTTGAGGGCACTTTGGGGTTTACAACATCTTCCACAACATCTTCCTATGATTTAGCTAAAAGAAAATTCTTTTTGTATTTTGTATGTCCATCAAATTAAAAATAATTAAAATCTGTGCACTTATGAATCCCTCCCAGCACAGCTCGGTCCGGCCCTGAATGAACCGGGGGGGGGGGAAGGTGTCCCTCTCTCCGTCCGGCCGCTCCGTCATTCCGTCGCGCCGGAAAAGGCAGAGCAGGGGAAGAAGGAGGCGTTGCCCTCCAACAACACATCAGCTGCAAATTTATGCAAAACACTAAAAGCACTTCTGCTGCGGCCATCCTGCAAAGCAAAAAAATAAATAAAGAAAAAAGCAACAAGAGCAGGCTCCGCAGGCCGTTCAGTCGCTTGGAGTGGTTTTGCAGCGGGCAGCCGGTGCAGGAGGAGGCTGAGAAACCCGGACCGGTGACGGTAAGGACGGACCGAGAGCCCCATTGACGAGCCAGACAGCAGCAGCGGTTAGCGGGATGCTAGGAGGAGTAGCCTCCGGTAGATCTAGTGTTAACTGGTCTGAAACATGGAGGGTAGCTAGCTAATGGAAGCTGGATGCAGCTGAAGGGGAAGCTTTTTCAGGTTGTGGAGGCTGAAGCTAGCGGACTGGCAGTGCTGGGACAGAATGAAGTGTGTGAGTGTGTGTGGAGGAGGGGGGTAATAAAGATACTGCAAGGATGAAATGGATAGGGCTCATACTCAAAACTAACGTTACAACAAAACAATTACATGTGTTGATGTATTTTGTAACAAAAAAAAATAAAAATAAAAAGAGTTTCTGCAAAGATGCACATTCTGTAGGCCTACTTGACACTGACCACGTTTTGGTGGAGGGGGGGGGTTGAGGCCAGTGTATGTATTTTTAATGTATTTTATAAGAAATTGTTTTAATCTAGTTGCTCCAATCTCTGCTGAGGTGCGTTCATGTGCAGTTAAACAAATACGGATTGAAATATAGGGCTGATATAATATTAGCTTATTCAAGATATATCAATGTTGCCAGATATGTCAGCCAATAAGTCACAAGAAATTGCAGTGCAGAAATACAATATAATAACATATGTTTAAAGTAATTCAGAAAAAAAAATGTTGCTCTGTGGTTTGACAACAGAGCATTGACAAGTGTATTTTTCAATTGTAAAATATCCAGCTCCTTAAGAGGCCCTTTATAAAAAATGTTTACTGTATGTGTTTAATTAAAAAAAAACTAATATCAGACAGTGAATGTATTGTGCCTGATGTTGGACCTCACCACCTGCCATTCCACCCATAATCCACCAATTTCCCAACCAATATCTTGCTTGAATTTAAAAACAGTTTTAGCATGGAGCCCCATTGTCGGTTGTTTGATATAAGGTATGATACAACAGCTGAGCGCCAATCAAACTCAGTCATTCATGTTGGGAACCATCACGACCCTGCAGCTAATGTTTGACTGATATATATTGGAGTTGATATTGTTTTCTGTTTGTGGATATTATGCCGTTAATACACCTTTTTAAATGAAATCAGTAGGCCTACTAGTGACAAATGGATTTTTAATGATTAAAAAAAAAGATTTGCAATTGTAAATTTGTATTTTGGTAATCACGGCTGCATCTTATAATACACAAATACAACCAAACATGAAAAAAATGTCAAGTAACCAACTTGCATTTGGAATGCTCCATATTAATGTCTAAAAACATTTATGACGTTGTCTTGGATTTATTTACGGATTCTGTGTACTGAATCGGATCAATCTCATTTGTTTTTTGTTTAGAAATGCTACAAAAAATATATACATTTTATTAACACAGTTAACTAAGTAATTAAGTAATTGTTCAGTTTTGCTTTTCATTTCTAATTTGACTTTTTATTCAAAAGCCTTTCCTTGTTCATGTGCTCTGGGTAAGCATGCATTTCATAAGGTGCAGCGTGCACAATATATTTACCACCCTGTGTTCTACTGGAGAGAGCTTAGTGTCCGATCTCTTCTTTTCTTTTCGGCAAGAAAACAGTTGTAAATGAATTGTTATGATGTGGTGCCTAAAAATGCCTCAGACGAAAACAGTAATCTTCAACGTCAGTCTAAAAGTATCCATATCAGTGTGACCAGGACTATATCAGTCAAACACCTAGTGAAATATTGAGTGAGTATTGTGCAGGCTCTGTGAAGAATGGTGTTTGTCAGGAACAGTGACGGGTGGTTTTTCATCAGCTGGGCTCTCACAGAGAAACCGTAGTGTGTGTTTCTCCCAGACTGATGGACGGCTTTTCTGTCTTCTGTCTCCTCAGCAGCCATGGAGACAGACGGAGAGCAGAACCAGCAGGGGGCCTCGACCAATGGGAACGCAGCATCTGGGACGAGCTCCCGCCCCTCTCCAATGAATTCCATGTCTCTATATGAAAGACAGGCTGTACAGGTATGCAGGTGTGCATGCATGCGTGCATGAGCTGTCAGCGAATTTGCTCACAGACTTTCATTCTGTTCTCATTGGCTCACCATCACCAGCTTTTCTTCTCTTGTCACCTGACAAGTCCAAAAGGCGTGTCAAAAAATCAACAACATTGTTTTCATTTTAAAACCATGTGTGCTAAATTATGATCCTTTGAGTTTTGGCTAAATCAAAAGCCTCTCTCGCACTGCTAATATTTACTATTTGTTTATTTATAAGGAATGCAATTTTTTTTATTTTTTCATTTCTTTATTTCAATAATTACAACACATTTATTAAAACCAAGAAGGTATTACAGTTTTGACAAGTTAGCAACACATAAAATAATAATAGTAATAATAGTGTTTTTCTTTGCTAATGCTGACTCAGCCAATCTGCTGCGTTACCGACGAGGACGACGACAGGTGCATCAAGGGAATGAAGAAGATTTACTCGGCAGCACAGTCATAGTTAATCTGGCTATATCACTAATACACTTTGTTTTGTTATATTATTAGCTTTTCTGGTCATTGTTAAGTCTCATTTTGCTCTGTTGCTAATTAAATTTGCAGATCTGATGTTGTTTTGTCAGCTGCTTTATTAATAAACAGGCAAGATGCTGCAGTTCTGGTTGTGGGTCTGGTTGCACCTGTTTGCTGTAGTTGTAAATGCTGTGAGATTATTCAGCTATTTGTGTCTTATTGTGGATTGATGACATAAAACTACACTTACCAATGCTACAAAAATTTTAAAGGACTAATTTTCATCCTACTGAAATATGTTTTATGTTAACCTCAACCTTTTCTTTTTTTTCCCTTTAAACTTTAAATGACCCCCATCATGACCCTCGTCAAGTCTTTCGGTCCTTCGCTCTAAATCATGCACCCAACTGTGCATCTTTTTCACCCAGAGGATCACGCTCCAGTAGCACAGCTGAGAAGCAAAATTGAGGATTGCCAGTAAATGAAAATGACTTGTGAGTTGTTATGCTGGACATTACAAATGCCCTTACAAATGTCCAGCTGGAGCATCCAACAAGACCACAAGTAGGCTGCCTGTCTGATGATCAGATGTCAGGTGTGAGCCAAAAACTAGAAGTCTATTTTTAATAAGTAATTGAGAAAATGAGGAATTAATTAATGAATTTAATTAATTTTGTCCTTTTTAATTTGACCTGGTATTTCTAGGAGCAACAATCTGACTAAAGTGTTTTTAGCTAATACACTTTCACTTTTAATGCTGACTACAAATAAAAATGTAATAGCTGCGAAATATTTATAATTTTCTTTTTTAGTTTATGTTTCATTGAATTCTGTCGTTTTTTCTCATCAACTTCATCAGCTTTCATATGACGACGATTCCTGTTGGAAGTGTGAACGGAGCTTTGTGTATAAGCAAGATTTTGAAGAAGCACTCTTGTCTTTATATTTTATGATTTATGTGTGAGCCAATGGGCAGAAAATGATGGAGAGCGACTGAAACAGGGAGGTGAAGAAAGAAATTGAGTCGTGCTGGGGTTGATGGAAGCTTTGTGGGATTTTCTCTGGCTTCTGTCACCCTGCACAGCCATCTGTCTTTGTCACATTGCACACGTTAATCCAGCCCGCCATGCTCGCTTTCATGCCTCAACTTATTACTGTATGGGCCTCTGCTCATACATCAG